CTCACAATCTCATTCTTACACACCTCACAGCATCAGATAAGCGTCGGCCGCAACATTTCTTGCATCACAATCCCTTGATTCATTCACTGATTTCCCCTGCCCTGTCTGCCCTACACCACCCAACAAGAGGCACCCCCGTTCCCCGAGCTTACCCCTGCTCTCTCTCCCCCATACTCCGGTATCTCTTCGAGTTTCTCATCTGAGGTACGGTACCATTGCCATACCCAAACCCAAACATGGGCCAAACGCTCTCGACCATGACAGTGGCCTCGCCTTCGGGACCCGGTTCCGCCCAAAACGTCTTAAACCGACTTTTCTTCGCTAGTGGCCCCTTGCGCTCCGCGACATCGTCTACTTTGACCCGTGCTTCCACCCGCTCGTCTACTGTTGTTCCCCCAGCCGCTGTCCTCACGGCGACTACTAATAATCGCCGCCCTCGACCCTCAAACCCCAGGCTCTCCTATTCATCCTTCTTTCCGTTCTCATCACCCCATCTCTCATTGTCTATGTCCATGGCGTCTTCGTCTCCTCATAGTACCGCCAGCTCTGAAATTGCCACGCCTCCTTCTCGCTCATCAACAATATCATCACCGTGTGTACCCCCCTTCCCGTCCCTCCCGACCCCTCCTTCCTGTTACCTATAACTATATCTAACCTCCCCATGTCTTTCTAGACGAAGACTTACAGATTCCAATCCAATGTCCCCCGTCGACCTTTCCAAGATCGAACAAGAAATCAAGATGGCCGCCCTTGATCAACACCGTGGCTACGTCCAAGACCACTATGCCGAGGTCAAGCAGGACCGAACACCTGAATACGTTGACGAGACCAATGCTGCCGGCTACCAAATTGTCCGAGAACCTCTCTGGAATAAGGGTAAGTCGTCTGATTCCACCTTGTTAACTGCGACAACACTTGTTGTCACCACCATGGTACCAGTGGTCTTGCTATCACTTGTAGTCATGGAAAGTGTCCATCACTACTCATAAATTCCTTTCTTCACCAGCCATCATGCTTTCCTTGAAGCATCTTGCTGACAATTCTTTGTGCAGGACTTGCCTTCACACCCGAGGAACGTGCCTCCAAGAACCTCACTGGTCTCCTCCCCCACACCATGGAGAGCTTCGAGACCCAGTGCGCCCGAGCCATGAAGATGATTCAGACCCGTCAGACACCTATCGACAAGTATCTTTACCTGTCCACCCTCAAGGACCAAAATACCGACCTCTTCTACCGCCTCCTCATCGATAACATCCGAGAGCTCATGCCCCTCGTCTATACCCCCACAATCGGTGATGTCTGCCTGCAATATTCGAGCATCTACACTCGCCCCGAGGCTCTGTACATCTCCATTAAGCAGCGAAAGTCCATCCGTGCTATGCTCCGAAACTGGCCTTGCCAGGATCCTGAGATTTGTGTCGTCACCGATGGCTCTCGCATTCTTGGTCTGGGTGATCTCGGTATCAACGGTGTCGGTATTTCTGTAAGTCAATTGCAAACCCATTTATGGAAATTCTTCTAATCAGGAACACCAGATCGGAAAGCTTGCTCTTTACACTGGCGCTGCTGGTATTCACCCCTCCAAGACCCTTCCCATTGTTCTTGACTGCGGTACCAACAACGAGGAGAACCTGAAGGACCCCTTCTACCTGGGTCTGCGACAAAAGCGACCTTCATACCCTGAGCAGCAGGCTTTCATGGATGAGTTTATGGAGGCTGCCCGCGAAGTTTTCCCCAGCATGGTTGTTCAGTTCGAGGATTTCGACAGTGAGAAGGCCTTTGGTTATCTCGACCGTTACCGAGACCAATACCGATGCTTCGTAAGTGAACCGGTGAACTTGGTGAAACTCCGTTGCTAACATTATTTTGATAGAACGACGATATCCAGGGAACTGGTGCCGTTGTGTTGGGTGGATATATTGGTGCCGTTGAGCAGTCTGGTGTTCCAATTGAGGAACAGCGTCTTGTCTTCATGGGTGCTGGCTCTGCTGGTGTCGGTGTTGCCAAGCAGCTCGTCGAGTACTATACTCGCCGTGGATTGAGTGAGGCTGCCGCCCGTGACAAGTTCTGGCTTGTCGATACCAAGGGTCTTGTTACTAAGGACCGTGGTGACCGCCTGGCCGAGCACAAGAAGTACTTCGCTCGAACTGACAACAACGGTCAGCAGTACCGTACTCTTGAAGAAGTCATCGAGTACGTCAAGCCCAGTGCCCTGGTTGGTCTTACTGCCACCTTTGGCGTCTTCACTGAGCCTGTTGTGCGAGCTCTCAAGCACTCTGTTCAGGAGGGTGGCCTTGAGCGCCGTCCCATTCTCTTCCCTCTCAGCAACCCTCTCACGAAGGCTGAGTGCACTTTTGAGCAGGCTATCGAGTGGACCGAGGGCACTGTCCTCTTCGCTTCTGGCTCTCCCTTCAACCCCGTCAAGGCCAAGTTTGGTGACGAAACTCACCACACTGTCTACCACCCCAACCAGGGCAACAATGTTTACATTTTCCCTGGTCTGGGTCTCGGTGCCATCCTGGCCAAGGCTTCTCGTGTTACTGACGAGATGGTTTACACCTCTGCTGCTGCTCTGGCTGGCTCCCTAAATGCCGATGAGGTTCATAAGGGCCTCATATACCCCCGCATTGAGCGTGTCCGTGATGCTAGTGTCATTGTCGCTCGTGAGGTCATGAAGGCCGCTCGACGTGGTGGTGTCTCTGAGCTTCCTGAGTCTCAATGGGCTGAGTGGGAGGAGTGGGGTGATGTTGCCCTAACCACCTACATCAAGCAGCGTATCTACAACCCTCTTTGCTTTGCTGATGCTAAGACGCATCTGTAATCATGTGCACACTTGTGTATGATTTGCAAGCATTGTCATTTGAAGGGTTGGAATGGGCCAAGATGCATATCTCGACCATGAAGTGCTCGTCGTCGGGATTGCACTTGCGGATGAATGCGGTATTTGAGTGACTTGAGTATACCAACCCCAGCTGCTTTGTCCAGACTTCAATGTCAAAGATCGGCTATGGTAACTCTTGTTATGTCATTTTATGCCACACGCTGTAGTCGGTGGCCTTTAGTACTCTGTTGAGCGAGCCTCCGTGATGAGGCTTTTTTGTTTTCCATAATCTGCTTGACGTGTTAACGGCTATTAATTTTGTTTTACATCTGGCATGAACCAGATAGGATGGGTATAGAGGCGAGAATAAAAAAGAGATGGAAGAAGACTGTACATACCAGTCAATGAGATATTTGAAACATATCCGACGAAGCCTTACCGTACCTTGCCTCGCTCTGTTGACCATAATGACTTCTGATGTGTTGACCGTAATGTGATTGTTGGATATTGCGACTCAAGTAGTGATGAAGAATTGCGAGGTGAGGTCCTGGGGTGGCCACAAAAATCCATCGATGTATCGCCAACTTGTCTTCCATTGCGAACAAAACGCGGTGTGAGTTGCGTGGGCGAAGCAAGTAGTTGCTTGATAGAACTCTCGCCAGAGACTGAATGCTCCAGGGCTTCGTGAACCGGCACTGAAAAGCATCCGGCGAGGGTGCCAAAGATGCAGTCATTTTGGGGTGGAGCACGACAGGCCCAAAGCTTCGGCATGCTTTGCTTGACTCAACATGATGGACTAGGTCCTGGCGAAATGCTGCTGAGTTTCACCAATGCCTTTCCATGAATGTCGGGGCTCCGGTCTCTTGACTCTGACCGAAAAGGCGTATATGTCATCGTGGAGCAGGCCAGCGATCAGTTCTAATATGATTGCCATGTCCTGGATTGCCAGTCGGTGTTTGGGTAGCGTCGATCCAGCTTATTGTTGTTAATTAGAGGGATGAATGATGGTGCGAGATCCAGGAGGATCTGGAAAACATCGCCTGGATGTCTGGAGACTCAGGTTTGTTGTCTTTTTTTTGGTTCGTCAAGCTTGTTGGAACGCTGGGGAGATCGTTAGGCCTCCCCGCAAATTGATGTCCGAGAGCATAATAGGAACTGAGGCTGTCGAATATCCAAAAGGAGACATTGAGGGCTGTAAGAAGAGTTGAGGCAAGCCAAGGGTACCACTTGGACCCAGAGCAATGCGACAGGATCGTGATCGTAACAAACAGGCAGGTGAATGTGAGGGAGGGTTACAACTTGTTGGGGGCAGGTGGTTTTTGTCCCTCGCACAACCTAAGTCAAGTCGTAAGATGAGAGGACGTCAAGGCCGGTTGATAGCCGCAGCCGCTTCAGGACGTCGGTAGCCGAGCCAAAGCTCGCCTGAAGGTTCGGGGATGGCGTTTGCCAAAGCCGAGCAGGGGGAGCCTACAATATGCAGTGCGACGGCGCGTGGCTGCGGTGCGGCAGAGGATGAGACATATTCCTGTCATAGAAAACGTACCCTGTACCATTGGGCAACGGATAATGTTGGTGGAGGGGTTTTGTATTCGAACAAGGCTTGGTGTTCTGATATCATGTAGCGATTTCTTCTTCAACGGGATTATATCTGCGGTGGTGGGCAAGGTACATTGGGATCGTTGTATGTGGAGTCCGTCTCGGGCCCGGGATCCAGTTTTCGATACTGACGGCGGAGGGCGCGGTAGGTTGATGGGTACAGCTGGGATGTTTTCTTTTTACACAAATAATCATAGTGAAAGTTCTGCTTAACTATGTGTCAAAGAAATTACGCTGCAGTCTTGGTTTTCATGCCTCTTGTACTCAGGGACACATGACGGTTTGAAACACAACTTCAAGAAGTGCTAGCGCCGAGAACAAGAAGTTGGCGATAACTGAGTACCTATTGAGCCGTGTAACGAAATATTTGCCAGTGCTTCGTCAACTCTCGCTTCACTAATCATTTACGTATGTATGGTGCAATCAATGACCAGACCAACTCCAGCTTCGATGATAAAGCCTGTTCCTGGTTCGTATCACGCATGAACCGCCCGAGAGAAAGGAAAAAAAACCTCCGTAGTGGGGATTTCCTCACAGAGAAACACGAAACTTGACGTGGATTGCGGTGTATCACTTCTAGATTATGGATGGGTTGTTGGGGAATGTCAAGAGAATGCCCGAGGGTCCCGAGAATTCTACGAGACCAACGTTTTTTCCCTACTGTCATCGGTCGGAAGTGATGTGCTTAGACCAAGCTGTCATTGTTGATCCCGGACCTGAATTCGACGTCCTTCGGCTCATTACACATCTGTGCGTAGTGAATACATCGAATGGTGGCATGATTGTCAACATTTTGGTTTACGGAACATGTCCAGGGCGGGAGATCGGCCACACCACCACCTCAGCTCGTTTACCACAGATTCCTGGAACAATGCGGAGGGATAGAAATGCTAAAGTCCTACGGAGGAATACCGGTATTTATCGAGGGTTGAATTCCACCGATCAAACCCGGTCCAGAGCTCAACCATCAGGGCCGGTCATCTCAAAAAACCAACCCCTGCCTGGGCTGGACTGCATCTGCATCAAGATGGCTTTGACCGGCACGAGACTACACGATGCACGACGAGGCTCAAGACCCACTTACACCCCATGGAGAAGTACAAACAACCTGTTGAAGAGTAAAAAAGCGGCCAATGCCTGCTCTCATTGGATTTTGATCTCCCCTCCTGCCTTCATGGCTCAAACATCGAGGGGCTCTCAACTTGACCAGGCAGGGTTAGCCGGATGTCTTTTCCCGCCCCCCTTCCAGCTTAGCTCACAGTAGTCCTCCACAGTGGTAACCGGTGGGCTCGGGTTGTGGCCGATGGGGGAGGTGATCGCAGCGCCGGAGGCACCGGGGCCGGAAGGGGATCCACTGCGGGTTGAACTCCGCTTGAGGCTGGCGGCTGACTTGACCTTCGGTGATTGATTTGCATCGCGATGATGTGGAGATTCCCCGACGTCTCACCTTTACTAGCTTGCTCCCAAACTGGATGTTCACCTTGGAATCCGAGGCGGTCACAAGAATAATACTCAATAGTTAATACTCCGTACCCACAGAGCACAAAACACCCGCATGACCTTGGCGAAACGGTGAAGGACAAGATATTGTAGCTAAGGTGTGAGAAAAGGTGTGTAAGAATTAGATGAGATGAGGTGGTGTAGTGAGGAATTTTCGTTCCGTGTCTTCCATCAGCCCTCTTTAATTTTAGATAGATCACCTTGCTGGCCATCACAATCCATGCAAATCTGCAAGAAGACATAAACCTGCAGCATCGGTTAGAACTGTTGAGGGATGGAAGTCGCATTATTTGCTTTGCTTTTTCCTTGTCTATGTATACATGAAATTATACAATTGCGAAAATTCTAAAAAGGTTCACATTCAATTCTCATTAGGCTACTGAATATATTGAGTGAGTTTGCTCCCACACCGACTATTACATTGACAGAACAAGAAAAACGCTTTCAAAATATTAAGCTTCGACAACCCGGAGCGACCCGTTAACTTTCACCATTAAGAACTCGTAGCGGTGTTGGTCTTCCGTGGATGCTCACGCTCACACCCTCAGACGTTTTGGTATGCCATTGCTTGTAAGTGGAAATGAAGTTTCGACAGAGATTTCACAGCCTCATGATTCGTCAACAGAACTACCCAAGGATCTTGACTGTTCATTTGAATAGCCGAACATAGCCGACTATTCTCCGTCATTGGCCATTATGCCTGACGTAGTTGGAGTCAATGCAAATTGATTGGCTGAGAGAGTGCCCAGATTTATCCCTGCCATACCGGACCAAAGGGACAAGCGCCATCTGATATTCTTGGGTTTGACAAGAGCGTCATATTTTTTTTTGACTACATATTACTTGAATATTCTCTCGCATCTCGTTGAGTACTGCAAACAGATCTGAGGACGAATCTATACAATAGTAATTTCAAGAAGGTGGGGCCTTTAGGAAAAGCTTTGATAAACTTCATGATGGGCAAGGCTTTTGAGAGGGGATAATTCAGGTCCAGAAGTGGGTCAGCTCCAAAAGAAGAGGACTTGGCAAGGACCACGGCATGCTGTTCGTGAACCATGAGAACCCTGGTAACTCTGGGGTACCCTCCTCCGCACGGGTAGAAGCCCGACGTTGAGAGGGCTGATTCCATCAAAGATTGCAATGGAAGGATGACGAGAAGACTAGTGATCATTCGAATGTTGCGTCGGTGCACGCACAGTATCGATATCATACTGTAGGTAGGGTTATTTTCTTGTTCTTTAACAGGCCGCATTTCTGCGTTTGCAGCGCCTCGTGATGTCTACGCCGATTCAATTCGACCTTTCCGATTCCGAAGCTCACACCCACCCCTGTCGATTCTGGAGCGGCTGACTCGATTAGGATGGTCAAGGACTATCGGTGATTGGCTTCTCCACACTACACTGACAAACTGTGGGGAGAGGAACGCTGTTGGGATCGGGAAAGACACATTGGGCAGTTGGCACGGATGCTGGGGACGGCAGCTCAGGTCAGTTCTGGTCAATTGTTTCTCAGGGAGGTTATTGGACTAACTTAGCTCGTCCAAAATGTGGAATCAACATATGGGAGACATTGGGGCTATAGTACCTATTGGCTCACTTACGTGGCCAGTTTCCTGAGACTCATTGTGGGGAGAACGGGGAAAAAGACAGTCACATCACGAAGATGAGGGACAGCATGTGGGTACTACCATACTGTACTCACATATCTCTCCAAGTCGGGGTAAAGTTTGGAGAAGTTTTATTAATATGATGATATTTCTGTAGCTGAACACCTTTCGAGTCAGAATACCTCAAAAAGTCTTACGGTGGCTTGGGACATGTATCAATTGAATTGCTTGTTTCTTTTGCTTGGCAGATAATAACAACAATGTGATGTATTTGTGTCGCTCCCAAATCAAATGTCGTCAGTGTCACCTTACCATGCCCTCGGATTGTAGGGCCTCGAATTATTGCTGAATCTAGAGATCGCCAATACATGGCAACGTAAAGCGTTATACTGGCGATCTCGCCGCCATCGGTATTGTGTCTTGTTCCCAACTTTAGAGTTGTCAGCCTCTTCAATGCCGGTGTGGCAGCGCCCGTGCTCGCGTGGAGCCGGCATCTCACAAGGTGGGAGGCGTTGTGGACGATCTATCTCAAGTTAAGTCCCCGGATGATGGAGGGCAGTGCATTAAGAGAAGCTCCAATACCAATGATAAGTTTCCAAACATAGTTGAGGATAATGGCAGGAATCAATCGCGAGATGCAGGTTTCCCCGGTCGTGTCCGCCCATACCCGGCAAGATTTTAAACGCTAACCCCGGACCAAGAGAGCATGGCTCAAGAAAGAGACTTGCATCTGGTCCCGCAAACGCCAAGAGGCTGGTCTCGACGCCCTGGTGGCTGATTAAAGTGAAAATAAAAATGAAAGGAGGGGAAGAAAAAACCAGACTCGACGAATGGATTGCAGTGGACAAAGAATTATACATTAATTAAACGTCTCCTGATTAATTGAAGGGTTCTATCCAGCATTGAAGCTCCTAGAGTTGATGTTTGTCAGGTCAACATACTGTGGTAGGACATTGTCAAGCATGAATGTAATTCCAAGTTTAGTAGATGCCAAGAGAAGTCAAGTGACAAGTGCCCAGACAGATGTGACAGGATTTCTTCAATGCCCAGACATGAAATGCTTGGCTGTATAAGAAGTTAATAACCCACATGTATAGCTCACGATTACATGGTTACATGCTGTTCCCATGGCTTATCGCACAAACGTAAATTCAACACACTGACGTTAATTTTCACCTCTATTTTCTTGTCCTTTGCTCCTGCGTAGCTTTGCCGCTGCATCGTCACCGATAAATCCCCACATCCACGCACCCCAATGTCACGGCGCAGGGTGCCACCTCCAGACTTGTCCCCTGCTAGAACGCCTTGCCAGCTTGGGAGTAGCTCTCCGCTTTCAGGAGGAACAACCAGCGCTAAATTACCCATCATCCAGGCTCTTCTTGTGGACTCGTTAGGCCCACCCTCGATGGGCCCTGTCCTGGGCGCTCGAACGCCATCGACACCCTCGCCCAAAGACCCTCAAATGCCTCGTACACGCCCTCCTCCACTTGGTTACCTTCGTGCTTGTGCTTGCTCTCATCGATCAAACTGCTTCTTGTCCCCTCCGTGACTAACATGGCTCTCAGCCAGACTAGCGATGAGAATATAATAACCTTCCGCACCCCCCACCTGCCGTCCCCCGGATTTCCATCCCCTTGGCTTCAAACTTCTACTTGCACAAGACTTATTGGTGTGCCTCTCTGTTCCTCTTTGATCGTGAATCATCTCAGATTATCTCATTCCGACGGGGATTAGGCATTCGCTCTAATTCAGATTGAGGTCGACATTTGAGCATCAGCCTGTCCCTGTCATCACTCTTCCAGTCTTTTCTACCTTACTTCCCACTCATCTCTTGGTAAACAAAAGACAACAACCACGCTACGATAGACATATTTGAATCTCGACGACAAACGACTCAAACCTTTTGAATTTAATCTGAACTCTCCACTCTACCGCTTGTATCTGGCCAAATCGAACCTTTCAATGATTTATCTCAACGACGACCACTGCCCTCTCTCACCAATTTCAATCTTCTAAGACCTAACACCGCCATATCGAAGATATTCAGACAGCATTACGAACTTGTTGGATTTCAGTCACGAGCTCATACCAGAAATTTCCATAACTGAAGTTGTCGATCAACAACCACTCAGCTCGTACGGGATCAAGCTTCACAACAACCATAGCCATGCAAACAGAAGCTTCACAGGGCTCGGCCGCCCCGCCATCGCCCACAGCAACCTCAGCAAAGGCTTCCAACGAAAAGAACAGCAAGAAGAGAGCCTCACCTTCTGGCGACTCGGAGCAACCGGAAAAGATCACAAAGCGACGCGCTGCCCGTGCTTGCGTGTCCTGCCGAGCACGAAAAGTCCGATGCGACGTAGTTGAAGGAGCCCCTTGCGGAAATTGTCGCTGGGACAATGTTGAGGTACGCTTCCAGGTCTTGGATTCTGGACAAACACAATCAACCCCCGCCATGAATTCTAGAGCGTGACTGACATTTGAGCAGTGCGTTGTCCAAGAAAGCCGCAGGCGAAAGTAAGTGATCCCCAACGTTTTCCGGTCATCGTGTTCCGATCGACTCCATCCTGGCCCCTTGTACCGGCTGCCGGTATGAATGGAGCTCACTCGAAAGCGTCATGTCACGCAAAATGCCCCAGAGAAAAAATTACGTTGAGTTTACGTTGCTAACCGCCGCTGCAGGAAGAATCTTTATACGGCCAGCACGGCGGGCCAGTCGGTCTCCACAGAAGCTCAACTGCGTTGCAAAACGACGGCCAGTAATGGCAATCCCACATGTCCCAGCAAGAATGCGACTGTAGGCATGAGCACAGCCGACCTTCGACGTCCCAGCAGCGGCTCAGCCATTTCGACCAGCAGCATTGACGCACCCAGTACTTTTCTGAATAGTTCCGCCCTCGATAGCCATGTGCCTCACATGATATGTAAGTTTTTGCGCTACTTTCCACCTCCAACTTCAACCCTCATTTTGTGCGTCGTAGCCAGCCCTCTCGATTGGCTAGTGGCTTTCTTTTTTGGGGGAACAGCTCCGTTCTCCGCATTTTCAGCCGCCCCTGGCCCGCTTTCTTCATGTACTCCACTGTGCTTACATGCCTGATCACATGGAAATTTGACGACGGTTGATGATGGAATGCGCGGGAACCGAACTATGGCTGACCACAAGACCCAGATCAACGCTCTGGCTACCGCCGAGATTCCAGCTCACTCAATAAGATCCAGTCAATAGAATCTAGCGCACATCGATCGTCATGGGGTAGCATCATCCCGGACCCTGCGTTCTTCGATAATTTGCGTAACACTCAATTGCTCGGTTCTCTCGAGGAGAAGGACACCCCAACACCTCAGTTCCCTGCATTTTTACGACCTCTACCGAATAAGATCGCGCCTGAAGATGTCGATTATCTCAAGATCAAGGGCGCCCTCTCGGTGCCCACCCTGCCACTACAAAATGCACTCCTTCAGGCTTACGTCGAATATGTGCACCCATACATGCCGCTTATGGACCTGAACAACTTTCTTGGTATCATCAACAGCCGTGATGGCAAGAATGGTCAGACAAGTCTCTTCCTGTACCAGGCTGTCATGTTCGCAGCGTCAGCCTTTGTCGACATGAAGTACCTTCGTGAGGGTGGTTACACCACTCGAAAAGCAGCCCGCAAGTCCTTCTTTCAAAAGACAAGGGTATGTCAATCTCCAACCACGTGGAACTTGCTGAACTAATCCGCCAATAGTTACTCTACGACTTTGATTACGAGTCAGATCGCCTTGTCCTCGTACAAGCTCTGCTTTTGATGACGTATTGGTATGAGACGCCAGATGACCAGAAAGACACATGGCACTGGATGGGTGTAGCAATCTCACTGGCACACACTATCGGTCTTCATCGAAATCCCGGATCCACAAGCATGGCCCCAGCAAAACAAAAACTTTGGAAGCGGATATGGTGGTCTTGCTTCATGCGAGACCGCCTCATCGCCCTCGGCATGAGACGCCCCACACGTATTAAGGACGAAGATTTCGATGTGCCCATGCTCGAGGAGAGCGACTTTGAGATCGAGGTTCTCCCTGAGAACAACACCATTATCCCACCTAGCTGTGCATTGGTTCGCAATCTCGACATGCAGCGAGAGCTGGCTATCATGTGCATTGCCAAGGCTCAGCTGTGCGTATGCATTAGTCGCATGCTCAAGGCGCAGTATTCAGTTTTGATCCGGGATAAGATGAAGCCCGAAAACACTACTAACAGCACTATGATGCTTTTCCCTAACAAGCAGTTAGATAACGTTGAGAGCGTCACCGAGGTGGATCACGAACTCATGGCATGGGCTGAGTCGCTACCAGCCTGTTGCCAGTACCGCACCCTGACACCCTTGGATGTTAAAGACGGACGATCTACAATTGCTGTTCAGAGGACACTCCTGCACATGGTATACTACACTACCATCTCGGCTCTACACCGACCTCAGTTCCTGCCATCGTCACCTCTTCAGGCCCCGACAACATCTCGACAAGTCCAAGATATGTCTCGATTACGGGTTCGCGATGCTGCAATGCATATTACCCGAATGGCTACGGAGCTTCACCAATACCGATTGGAGCGATTCTTGCCTACGACTGGTGTCACGGTTATCCTGCCTGCAATGATCATCCACCTTCTTGAGATGAAAAACCCAACACCCCAGGCTCGGGAGCGTGCCACACGAGGATTCCGCCAATGTATGCGGGTTATGGAGAAGCTCCGAGAGGTTTATGCTGCTGCAGATTACGCAACTGGTTTCCTTGATGCTGCTTTGCGAAAGGCTGCGATTGATATCAACTCCAGCGTTGCTCCTTCAACTCTAGCCATGATGAAACGGGTACCAATCGAGTTCAGCGCTCAAACCCCACCACCGGAGAATGCGCCATACATGACTGCTTCCGAGTCGCTATTTAATGAGAAGCCAAAGGAGCTTCAGCCGGTGGCAGCACCAACTATGATGCCGCCAAACACTGTCAACGCTGCAGCTCTGGAGATGCCCACAAACTCACCACCCCAGACGGAGATGGAGTCTCCCGCCGCTGGTTTAACGCCTAGTGTTAGTGCTGGATCAGAGGAAATTCAATTGGATGTTGGCAACATGGATCTCGATTTCATGCAAGGCCACGACGAGTTTGACTGGAATGCTGTGGCCGGAACCGATTTTGACGTTGACCAGTGGCTGCAATTCCCTCCCGAGGGAGTGAACAATCAAGACGATAATTTGATCGCCGGGGTATTGGGCGTTGAGGAGCCTACTATGTCCGCAGAACAGGCGCTGACCTGGGCTATTAATGCCGAGGTCGATGCAGCCCGACAAACCGAGAACCGCGAGATCCCTGCCCCGGCATAGTTTCGAGATGCTTCAACTTCCGTATCACAGCACAATTTTGGCTGAATGATCGATTGGACGGAGTCTTGCATTTGTTTAACTTTCGTGTTACCTGGTATATGTCTGCATTCGAGACAGGGCGTTTAGACTGTTGCTCCACGTGGCGCATTATGTTTTGGAATGGGACGGCGGATATTGTTTTTTTCTTTCTGGAGGGATATGATTTAATGTTTCCAAGGACATCAAAAAGCAACGCTTGGCATGAATGTTGATGAAGACACATTGATTTTTGGCGTTTGATATCACCTACAGACAGGAAAGGGACGCCTCCAGGGGCTCAAACTTGTTGTCGCTGTTTGTCTTTCTTGTCACCTTGAAGTATATATTTCGTAGTTGAATAGTCACGAAAGTCAACTTGAACCATGAGTATCTGTTGTGGCATTCGTAGTTACATATCAGCGAGTTGCAAAAACCCCCAGATGCCCTAGATAGTGGGAAGATCTTTATGCTATATTCAATATTAGCGAAAGCATGTGATTGTCTTGTCCTTCCTCTTAACTCAAGATAACAAACACTTGCAGGGGGGCATATTGAGAACAAGAAGTATCAAGGTTGAACCAATAAACCTCACAGTGCGATGTTATTATAGGTGTCGGCTACATGAAGCGAGAAGTTTGAAATGGAGTATGTAATTTAATGTGGTAGGCAATTAATTGCAGGACGATTGGGTATGGCGCAATCTATTTGTTGACATTAATAACTAGCATCACGATGGCTGACAGGGTGACAGGTAACAAGGGCAGATAGCTACGAACGAGACGGGGGTCTGGTGATTGTGGCTTTAGGCAAGACAAGAACAGATGGGACCTGGTGAAGAACGGCTATCAGAGGAATGGGTAGATAATTTCAAATGTCTCTGGCTATTCAAATCACCCCTTTTTTGTCTTGGTGCTGCGTAGACATGTTCACGATGGCGTGTAGTGAGATGCAGGAACAGAAGCAACGATGGTTCAAGATATTGAAGACTGACAAGGGCAAAATCGATCTAATTCGATGCCCTGGCTTGGTCGTACAGGGCAATCGAGCTAATAATATCACCGTTGACGGTTGATGGGCCAGCCTGCGATGGAATAAAGAAGATCTCCTTTCCGTCAACGTTACCAGGTAAGGTAGGTAGTCAAATTCGTTAGCCAGGTCTTGGCCTCATATTAGAGAGTGGAGGAAAGGGAGGCGATTATGGGGCGAAAACGAGACCAAGCGAGAAGAAGGGTTTTTCTCTTTGATTACCTCTAGGTACTACCTTAGCTGTACCTACCGTACCTACTTGAACGGAAGACATGGATGTCTCCAGCATCAGTCAGGTTGGTACCTGGAGGGAAAACACTAGGTGCACAGCTCTCTATGGATCCTATAGCGAGGGTCCAGAGCCCATTTTCTCTTCCTTACAACGTAGGCCTCTCAACAAACCATCACTCCAACATCTCTTCTTTTCCTTGACTTCAGATCTTGCGACTATGGTTATTATTCTTTGTATTCTTGGCATCTTTGCACTGTACCTGATCCGTCAATTGTCGTTGTACCTTTCGCTGCCGCTTCATCTTCCCTGAGTTTGCTCTTTCATTGACTGATATCCCTCCCTTTAAGCAAAGTGGTCGCAGCTCCAAAGCTCATCCTCACCATCTTCTTTATCTTCGTACCTCAACTGTGCATTCCGTTTTGCATTCTTTTGTTCACTCGATTCCCAAACTTTCACCAGTTTCTCTAAACAAGATCTTGTCCAGATCCGGCCGTTCCATTGTGCCAACCAACAGCCTAGCTCTTGCAGCGTTCCAACAACGTCAAATTGACGATACTTTGTTTGAGCTGCGTTTCTATTTCACTACATTGCGCACAGGGCATCCGGTCAACTGAACCGACTTTCCTTTTCTCTTTATCCATGGTCACGAATCGTGGGTGACGAACCAGTGGTTTTGGACTCATTTGACTAGGGCGCTAAATACGACAAGCTATTTACGCAAGCCCCATCCTTGCCGCCAATTCAGTGTAAACCTCATTTATTACAGGCCTCCGCAACGAAACGCAACGCGACCGTGGCCCACACAAGAACCTCACACGTCAACCCAAACCACGTCAAACTCAACTCTTCTTTGCGCAACTCTTTGACCGCCATCTCCCATCGGCGATTGCTTCAGTTCCTTTCAGCTCCCAGAGTGGCCTTTCAAAGGCCCTCTTTGTCACTCCTTACCTCTTCGGATCCACTTTCAACTTGCTTTTTTCCCTTTCCCTTGAGCCTAAGAGCTTCCTCAGTTGCGCGACTCTGTGCCACACACAGCTTCACTTCTTTAATTCGTAACTAAGCGGTCTCTTAACCTGCATGAAACCTTGCACCCTTTGAACAAAGAAGCTCCACCTGATCGCATTAACTAGCAAACACCACAAGGACTTTTACGACCTGACGGCGACCTATCTGACGACACAATTTCTGACGTATCTTCTTCGATATGGGCATCAAAACCTCCACTCATCCCCGCCCCATCGACATGTCCCCAGGTTCCTAGACAGATCATGATTCTACGATCCATCCACCCGATTCGAGCCTGTCTGTCTGCTGGATAATAACCATGACCGATTCCAATGCCCAAGTCGCCAAGCAGGCGCGCGATCCCGCCGCCACTTCACCGGCTCCGAGGAATAAACTTACCGAAGATATTATTGTGAATCTCGGCCCTGCTACTGTCGTCGATGCGCTGAACACAGCCACTGGTGCCCTCCGTACGTCCTTGGACAATGCCTCCCCCAACGAGCGAGATTTCATCAATCGCACAGCCCTTGCGTCATACACAATCTGGGGATGGTTCGAGGAACTTCAGTCTTGGCCGTGGCCCTCCGAGTCGGGGTCTGCTGGGTTTCTAATGCCCAGTGACGAAGAGCGCAAACGAAGATCAATGCAACTTACTGTCCCAGGGGACGGTGACGATCAGTGGATGGGGAGTTTGCTTGCTCGAGATGTGTCAAAATACGAGCAGAGGCTGGCTCAAATTCAGCGTGATTTGTCAGATCTTGATCTCGAAGACATTAAAATACATGTCCTCAACCATCATATTCTTCCTTTATCCAGGCCAGGTACACCACTTGCCGAATTCACTGGAGCCGGTCAGCTATCGCGCTCCAGCTATAATCGCATGGAGGACCACACTGCGGTGATTACTGCGATTGTTCTGAAGGCGCTGCCCGTCTTGGATAAGTTGACTCGCCTACTACACACTTGGAACCTACGACTTTGCGCTCTGCGCCGCGTACCAACTGTTCTACTTGCCCTTGAGGAAGCTGAAGTTGCTCTTAAATCTGCCTTTAAGGCTATTTCTATCCCCACAAAAGACACGCCCAAGAAAGACGACAACACTCCTTTGCAAGATTCGGCGCTTACGAGAGATACATTTGATGTGATGAAGGGGCATCTCGGCGAACTGATCGTTCGTCCTGGCCGATCGCTTGATTATATGCTGGACTGTTTGGAAGGACTACCTGACACGCTCCCCAGTGATTGGTTGGATCGAATGGAAGCTGTAGAGTCGAGCTATGGTGAATGGGTTGTGGTATGTGAGAGGAAGATCAGACACACTGAAAGGACTGCTCCTCCCGAACCATCGCAGCCTCCTCGTTCTCCATCACCAGTGAAACAAAACACAGCAGCTGACAAGTCTACTACACTCGTCGACAGTATGATTGACGATGAATCTGATAACGACGATGAAAGCTCTGTCAATGCTGGGGCTGGTGTTGTGCCCATTCCGTTGCTTCTACCGCCCAAGAAAGTGACAGTTACTGGCCTCGACAACTCGGCTACGGAACCGACGAAAGCTAGAGTGCCTTCTGGCGTTTCGGAGTCTGAGACAGTTGTACCAGAGTGGTATAGGAGAGATCCATCATCGGAGAGTGAGCCCGAGAGCCCTTCATTTCTCCCCATCGAAGAAGTGGACGAATCCTATGAGGCTGAGAACGACACCTTTGACGGCACCAGAGACGTCGTCCCAGTCCAGTCCCAAGTACCAACACCAAGTATCGAGCAGGACTTCAACTTCTCGATAATGTCAACTCAGTACCCCGAAACACCTGATCATAGCTTCACACACCATTTCGATCGGGAGATCTCTCCTGAATTACCACCCCTACGACCTTTTCCTCTTCCAAGGCAGAAGATTGATCCATCCCGGACTCTTACTGTCACTCAGCCTTCGTCGAGCTATTTCGGCGGCCTATCTAGCGACCCCCTCGAGGTATCTGCTTCTCCTGACATTCCTCGAACCCGAATTCGCGAAGCGGAGTACACCCAGGCTAGTCCCCCCAGTACTCCACCCATGTTGCCTATGGGTTCACGGGAATCCTCTCTAGCACCTCTGGATAGCCCTCTATTGCCAGATCGGAACATCGATGATCTAGATATGTCCAATATGCGAATTGAGGATTCGTTCAACGAAGACTTTGACGATTCATTTTCAATCGCTGAGTACCCTACTACTTTCGACCGCCGCAGTAGCGTTGGCGATCAGCATCTGCAACAACAAATCAGTCAGATCATTGACTCGATACCCGCCAAGATCAAGCTAACTAATGACTCGTCTTCGAGAGTCAACCTGAATCCTCCGGATATGCAGCTGCCACGTATTAGAAAGAGGCCTTCCATCGAGCCTTTCCGAAGAAGCGCTTCAAATCTTTCATCCCGCGCTGGCACGCCCTCATTCACCCTTTCGCCTGCCAAGAACACGAGGGTACGAAACCGTGGCCACCACGAGATAAAGGTCTACCATCTTTCTCGGTCGTCCGGTGAGGCTCCAATCAAATTGTTCATTCGCTGTGTTGGCGAGCAGGGCGAACGCGTCATGGTTCGTGTGGGTGGCGGCTGGGCAGATCTAGGCGAATATCTCAAAGAGTATGCTAGCCATCACAAACGCCGATCTGCTACGACCAACGCCAAAGTTGAGGTTCTTCCAGAATCTCCTGGCGCGTCAAGGTCTAATATGGGCTCAAGTCCAAATGGACGACCTCAATCTGCGGTTGAATTGTCTCCTATGTCCCCTTTGTCTGTCCGTAAGACGCGACGGAGCATTGGTGCCGTGGGTAGTGAAGCACCTAGGCTGAATTCAAAAACGTACGCCTTTGGCCCTGCACTTGGTGAGGAGGATCCTTCGGAAGTCTTTAACCGGTCGCGGTCCAACTCTCACCTTGATTGGAATGAAGACGAGAGCTCTTTCCTTGGACTTGCGGGGCCTACAGGCAAAAAGGTTGAGATGAGTGAGGAGAACAAAGCATGGGTCGCAAGTGTCAAGGAAAAGGTCAGAATCGCTAGCGGCGAGCGAAGTCGACTACCATCAACGAGCAGCCAATTTGGCGAGCTCGGTAGAATTGGTGGCACGAAGCGACTGTTCCTCAAGTCTGAGGACCGTCGGGAATCGAAAGGCGGTCGAGAATCGAGAGGAGGCCGAGAATCACGAGGAAGTGTCAGATGAAGCTGGTATACCAGCACGAGCAACGAAGCCTTTACTCTTGTGCCAACACACTTGCACTTGACCACGAACCTATGAACCTGAGCATTGAACACACCACAACGACTATCATGGGGGGCAAATTTTTGCTTTGTGGAGTTGGGGAACCACTGGGACTCATCATACATGGACATAGCATTTGAATTTTTCCTTTTGTTTGGACGACACGGTCTTTCTTAGGGCGAACTGCGGACAGTGTAGACAGTCAATACCCATATTTCCTATTTGTTATGAGATCTTAGCGTAGTTATTTAGATACGTGAGTCAGAAGAAACGCGACATATCAATCAAGCCATCCAGTTAACTTTGGCAACCACCAATGCTGAGCCGTAAATCTAACAACGATTCCAAGCCGAAAAAAAGCAGAAGTTCATTTCAATTCCATAACTGACCGTAATGGTCAAAACGTGTGTAGTATCATCATAACTTGGCCTAAACCCTACCCATAATAAGATCCTTTTCTACCAGACCCAATGCACCCGGTTTCCGAAGCCCACCTTTTGTTCCTCCTCAATGCCAATGTATCCGATTTTCAGTTCCCGATTTCTCTTTTCCCTTTCTTTTAGCTCAATCATCGTCGTCTCCTGCTCTGCGGGCAGCGCGACGTTTACCCTTTCCGCCCTTAGGGTTACCCTTAAAGTGCTTCTTGCTTGACGCCATTTGAACCTCCTTGGGGTCAAGGCCGTTCTCGAGAGCGACCACTGTGCGCGCTTTGCGACCGGACAGGTGTTTACCCGCCAGAGGATCTTCCTTCCCCTGCTCTGAGTATTGGTAGTTAAAAGGTCGGCTAACGTGACCTTGAGAACTGGAAGGACCGAAGAAACCCTTGTCGATCTTCTGGGACTTTGGACCGGCAGGGAGGGGAACATCGACGGTCGAGGCAAGGTCAACAGCATCGTCGTCCATGGCAAGGAAGGGTTCGCTGCTGGCTGGGTCGACGAGTGAGAGCTGATCCATAGCGGCACTTAGGGCAGCACGTCGTTTCTCGGGGAGGTGCTCTTCATCGTAGAGCCCTCGGTTGAAGTCGGCCGCATCCTCAATTCCTGGAGGGGGTGAAACGAATAGCAGCTTACCATTTACGTAGTCCTTGAGGATATACCGAGCAGCACGGGACTCATCAGGCTGACCAAGACCCTGGGTTTGGAAACCACGGGCGCGCGCATATGCACGGAGCAGCTCGGCAGCTGTAGGGATTCCTGTACCCCCCTCCTCAATGGCTCGGGTGCGGATATGAATACCATAGATTGCCTCAAGGAAAGGTTGAGGGATTCGCTGAGTGACGAGGCCCACGGGTCCCTGGAACTCGCGAAGCTGGTCGATGGGGAGAACACCGTTACAGACAAGATCGGCCTTGGTGGTAGCAAAGTTGGGGAAGACGAGACCAGGACAATCGCAGAGGATCACACGTTCACTGAGGTGAATGGTCTGGAAGTGCTTGGTCTTTCCTGGAGTTGAAGAGACCGAAACTTTCTTTGCACCAATGAGAGCATTGATAGTAGAGGATTTACCAACGTTGGGATAACCAACTAAGCCAACCTGCAGCTTGTGATCCGAGCCTGTTGATGGGTTAGCTGAGTTCTTCAGAGAGTTTTCTTTTCTTGATGTATCTCACCTGCGTCTGCGGGAGAATGTTTCAAGAAGATGTCTTCCAGCTCTTGAACTGTAAGAATCTGTGTGTCAATATCGTCGGCTTCCTCTGCCGCATTTGCCTCTATATCAATTTGACTCTGTGGCGCCAAGTCTTGGGCCAGAGGAGCACCTTCTTGTTCTTGTTGGTCGCTACCCTCTGCTTGTTCCTCCTGGGCGGATTCTGACGAAGGCCCGACGGGCGACTCATCTTCTGAATCGCCAAACTCCCTCGCCTCGTTCTCTGCCTTGGCCAGCTCAGCGGAGAAAAAGCGATATGCAATGCCAGCCTCCTTTAGGTGCTTTGCCCAAGCCTTTCGCTGTTTGGGTGTCATCATGTCCGCCTTGTTGATGAGGAGAAGGTTCTCTTTCTTGGGATCAACAGCCTTGACATATGACTCAAGATCCTCAGAACGGAATAGGAGAGGGTTTCTGGCATCGACGATCTGGACAATAAGATCCGATCGCTCAATAACTCGCCAGAGCTGCCGCCAAACCTCTAAGTTTCGCTCAAAAGGTGTCATAAGAAGATCGTTATTCTCTTGCAGCTCGGCCAAGCCGCGTCTCCAGTTAAGGAAATTCTCTCGCTCTCGTGCGTCCAGTTCTTCAGGTGTTGTTGTAGAATCCCACTCGGGCCTTCGGGGAACAGTTAAACGACCTTTATGCTGCTTGTGCTTTCCAAGAACGTCTCTCTCCTCATGCGCCGAGAGAAGGTACGGGTTCTTTTGGTCTGTATGGATAATCTTGACATTGTTGGTCTTTTCGGCTGTGAAATCGGTACCAGCCAACTCGGCGGTGGCCAGGAACTCATCCAGATCGCCTTGCTCCGTAACGGAGCGCATCTTGACCCAAGCAGCATCCTTCTTCTCGTTGACAAGATATTGTTCGCCCGTGGCGTGGTTTGTCCTGGTGATGGCAGAAGTTCGCTTCCTGTCGGTTCCCTTGCCTTTACCGAAGCGATCGTTCATGAGGGCGTTGCCCAAACCGACCGAGTTCTTGGACTTTGCCAGAACCATTTTGACGTCGCTATAGAGTGTAGTATTCGGTTTGTGCGCTTCAGTAGCTAATATACGAGGAACCGCTGCTCCAAGTTACAATATCTCTCAGGATATTATTGATGTTGTGTAAAAATTGAGTTGGTTTGATCTGAGAGGGCTGTCCACCGATGAACTCTGTGCCCCGCTGAATAATGACTGTTCTTGGAGGGGCAAATGGATTTTTCGGGGTCTGTGACGGTGTTTCAATTACTGTTTCTGCACTGTAGACGCCGGCTGGAAATTGGTACTTGATACTGTGCGAAGAGTCCAACAGGGTCTTGGATAACTGTGGAGTAAATGATAAGGATTTTTTCCCACCCCGCTAGATTTTCTGTACCCGGATGAGTGTTGTTGTCTAAGCCCAACATCCACGCGCACCTGACAACTAAATTCTTGTTGCTTCAAACCGCCAAGATGCCTCGAAAGTGGATGTAAGTACTCCGTGGTAGATACAAGACCACAGTATGCTAATAGAGATCATGTAGCGACAAAAAATCTGCTCAGCACTTCACGCTGGTGCACCGACCGCAAAATGACCCCCTCATCCACGACGAGAATGCACCTGCAATGGTGCTCAACCCTACTCAGACCAAGAAGGGATCATCTAAATCGAAGGATCTTGATGATCTGGCTTCTGAACTAGGTTATGAGGCCGAAGGTGTCCGCGCAAACGAGGGCGAGGCAGCTAGTTATGGTGTTTACTTTGATGATTCCGAATACGATTACATGCAACATCTGCGTGATCTCAACACTGGTGGTGGAGAGGTTGTTTTTGTGGAGTCGACAGCTACTGCAAACAAGGGCAAGGGGAAGCAGAAACAGTCACTTGAAGATGCACTCAAGAAGCTGGACATTGAGCAGAGTGCAGGTGATATTCTCGATGACGATATTCTTCCATCCAAGAACCTTACAAGGGTGACCTACGAGGCCCAACAGGATATTCCTGATTCTATCAAGGGATTTCAACCCGATATGGACCCTCGTCTTCGAGAAGTCCTTGAGGCCTTGGAAGATGATGCGTATGTTGATGATGGCGACGACGATATTTTTAAGGAGCTTGCCAAGGACGGCCACGAACTGGAAGATTATGAGTTCGATGGCGCAGATTTTGACGAGGATGACGGTTGGGAGTCAGATGCTACAGCCAAACCAATCAAAGAGTACAAAGATAACGATATCCCTCAACTCGTACCGACAGAGCAACCCGAAGAGGGACCCTCTCAGGATTGGCTTGAGGATTTCAAGCAATTCAAGAAGGAGCAAAAGGGCGGCAAGGTCCCCGTCGCTCCATCACAGTCTGAAATGCAGTCTAATTGGACGACAACCACTCATGGTGGCCGACGCAAGAAGAGAAAGGGAGCCCTGACGGATAACTCGAGTTATTCCATGACCTCCTCATCTTTGGTACGAACTGAGCAGATGACTCTCTTGGACGCGAGGTTCGACAAAATTGAGGAGCGATACAACGAGGATATGGAGGACGACATGCAGTCGATGTCTGCCGTTTCAACCATGTCTACTGTTCAAGGGCCTGTTCGTGGTGACTTTGACAACATCATGGATGACTTCCTTGGAAACTTTACAAAACCTGGAAAGAGGACATCCAAGAAGACCAAGGCTCAAACAGGTCTCGAGCAACTGGAGGAGATTCGAAAAGGGTTGGGGCCTGCTCGAATCCGCGGCAGGATAAAATAATTGAGGGTTTGGCACATGAGAGATCAACCAGATCTGAGATGATTGGAATTGGAATAAAAGAACGGAGTTTAAGGAGTAAAATGGATTTTAATGAGATATACGTTTGCTGGTTGCTGGCGCGGTGATAGAGAATGAGACACGATTTCCATTCAAGCCATTCTACAACGGTACGAAAATCCATGTACCTTTGTCATCACGTGAGGGTGGGTCCGGTGTAACAAAGCAGAGCATAGGTAGCTCTCCAGAATAGGAACTAGCTCAATGGATTAATTCTATCTCCAACACTCAACCACGGCTTGTTATAATATCCACGTCACGCCACGCATAGAGAGGGCTTTAATTCATCCTCATGTTCAGACGAGTTCCTAGATGAGTGCGACGCTTGTTGCATCATCAAATCAGATGTTTTCGACTTTCAGCCAGCCAACGCGGAGCCCGTCTCCAGCGTTCAATCCTTTTGCGACGAACTCTGAGAACAAAGGCAGCGCATTCGGAATTGATAGTGCAGGCGACTCTTCAAAGACGAAGCGACCCAAGCGATCATCAGCATTTGGCGACCAGAGCGACAATGAAGCAAAGCGAAAGGCGAATAACCGGTTCAAGAACAAGGATCCCAACCTGAGTGACGGAGGTGGTAGGAACAAGAGCCGGAAAGGCGACGAAAAAAAGAAGAACACTGATCCAAAGAAAAACCCATTCAATACTGCCACCTTCTCCAAGAAGCAGACAGGACAAAACACGCGGGGTCATGGATCAACTCCATTTGCGGCGACGCGTAACGAGTCGCGACCAACTTCATCATCAAGCGCCAACTCCGACGATGAACCTATTCCCGAAACCCATCACTCTGACGATCCGCAAGCGAAAAGGGTGTACGAGCAACTGCGTAAGGATGGCGTCCACCCTCCTCAATGGCCTTCACAGCCTGGAAATCCCAAGAACAAGGCCGAAGTGACAAAGTTCCGCGAAAAATACGAAACCTACCGCAGTAAGGCGCGCGCATCTCTGACAAAGGCCGGTTTGATCGATGACCCAGATAAGCGCAAAACTCTTCAGGATGCTATCGATTTCAAAGGCATCTGCGAGGATATGTGCCCTGAGTATGAGAAGATCACGCGAATTAATGAAATGGACGTTCATCAGCCCGAAAAGAACCCCAAGACTACATACGCCAATACACGTCGCATGGTCAAGAAGCTCGCTCGCTCTGCCGCTGGTCAAGAAGCACCATTGCCCATGGATGTTCGATCCGTGCCGGCCCTCAAAAGGACATTAGACTATTTGATTGACGACCTGTTGCGTGACGACGGCAACCTACCAGTCTTGCATGGGTTTCTATGGGACAGAACACGCGCAATTCGCAGAGATTTCACCTTCTTCTCATCACTCACCCCCGACGAAATGAAGATCCAGGTCTATGTTCTGGAGAACATCGCGCGATTTCATGTTACGGCACTTCATCTACTTACTCGAGACGGCGAAACACCTGAGGACTTCGTGGAACAGCAGGAACTGGAACAGCTTGGGAAAGCCCTTTTGTCCCTCCGCGACGCTTACGATGATTGTAACGATCAGGGTATACGATGTGAGAACGAGCCTGAATTCCGAGCATACTACCTTATCTTCCATGCCTACGACTCGAACATCATAGAAACGTTGCAGCGTCAATGGAAGCCAACCCTGTGGAAAGACTCCAATGAGGTTCGTACGGCCGTCTTACTCGTGGAGGCTCTTCAAAATACCCAAGACTTTCATGGGCCTCTCAAGGATGCACCGTCATTAGCCGCATCAGCTGCATATCAATCGTATTTCAGAATAGTTGAGGATCCAAAGGTTTCCTACACGATGGCTTGCTTTGCAGAATGCCACTTTCCCAGACTCCGTCGCGCTATCTTGACCGCTATCAATAGAGGTCTCGCTCGGCCTCGGGAGACTTCCAAGGACGTTACTGCCGCTGTTTTGAACAAGTTTCTTCGCTTCGATACCGTCGAGCAAGCCATAGAATTTGCGGAGCTTCACAATATCGAATTCGGCCAATGCGAAGAGGACCCTTCCGATGTCAGTCGCCAATACGCAAAACTGGACAGTCGTGGGTCTTTACCTCACCTTCGCCTTCAACATCAGTTCTCTTATTCTCTTGTCGAAAAGAAGCGCGGCTCAAAATCCCTTCCAGAAGTAATCCATGAAACGACCTACCAAAGCGCGAACCCTCCTAAGGCTGCCATCAACGGTTTATCTCAAGAAAGCCTTTTTGTTCCAGATACAAAAACCACTACCGACAAACCAACAATCCCCACTGGACCCAAAGCTACAACGTCAAACCCCTTTTCATCATTTGGCAAGCCCAGTGGATCTTGGGGGACAACAAGCCCATCAACGGCAACTCAGGTAAGACCCTATTCCTACTATTTAATTTGCGCCAAAGATTCTGCATCCCATGGTTCTCTGCATATTCGATTATATGTAAAGACCTTTACTTTGCAGGCGAATAGGAAATCGCATTCAGCCGGAGACTCGATAGGCCAAAGTTCTTGAGATTTACTAAGGACAACGCATTGGCTCGAGACGAACCACTGGAAATCTGGCAAAGACACGCCTAAACCACTGGTTCTGACGTTTGTATTCGCTTAGGGACTACAATCAACGGAACTGCTTCGATTAGTGCCTCTGGTTCGCAACAAACACCACCCCAGAAACCCCCATTCGCATCTGACTTGGCTTCGACAGCCAAACGGCCTGCTGTCAACCCCTTCGCACCTACAATATCTGCTACTACGCCATCCTCCGTCGGCAATGTTTCTCTACCAGCACCTACCTCTGAGCAGCTACCTGGATCTGGAAACAGGCCAGTACTGAACCCGTTTGCCTCTTCTTTCAAGCCACCAACTACCTCGGGTGAGCAGACACAGAGCAGTCCATTCAGTCAACTTTCTGCCTCTCATGAGAAAGATACAGCAACAGGGACGACCTTCTCCTCTCTACCAGTCACTACGGCAGTTGCCGCAACAGAGAACACTTCTAGCAAAGAGATAACAGCAGACAAGCCACAGTTTCAGACTCCCACCATCACCTCAGCGCAACCCCCGAAGCAATCTAGCATCAACATATTTCCCCCAACGCCTCAACTATCCTCGAGTCCCTTTAATGCCGCAGCGCAGCCTCAAAACCCATCTACGCCAAGCGCCAGCAGTACCACATCGCAAGCGACGATACCTTCAACAGCTTTCAACCTGGGCAAAACACCCGGGTTAACTGGAGAACAGAGCAAGCCAGCGACGGCCTTTTTTGACACACGACCCCCGACCACATCAACACCTCAATTCTCGTTCCCTTCCCTTGGAACCTCATCGTTGTCCAATCCTGCATCAAACGGCGATGGTTTTCAACTCTCAACAACCCCAGCGACCGCCCAAATACCAAAGGAACCCAGTCCCCCTCCGGAGCCGCCATCCCCACCTCGTGACCTACTCGGTGATTTTACCAGATGGTTCGTAACTGGCGATGATGGACTCATGGACGAATTCCAAGCATTTATGTTGGATAATATACTGCAAGGCGTGTATCGAAAATACGTTAAGGATGAAGAAGCCAAGAGACAAAAAGAGGAGGAAGATCAAGCACTCGCAGAAGCACAAAAGTTTCGCGTCTACAGCTTATCAGTCAAATACTTCTACCGCTGGAAAGAGCATGCGCGTGATCGTCGCTTGAGCCAGCTTCGTCGCAGCGGCCGAGAGCAGATGAGAGCCTACTATCAAGCACAACGTGTAGCGCAAGCTAAGGCCCAGAGAGAAGCTGCCCGCCAAGCTGCGCGAGAGCAGGCTGAAATCGCAGAGCTGAATCGACCAGAACAACTGAAAGATTTACTTAAACACAAGAAGCCAAGCAAGCGCCGTCAAGCAGCAGAAGAGGGCGCACTGCTTGCTTCCGGTGTTCTATCCGGAATCAGCAACGAGCAGGAAGCTGTGGCCAGGATTGTGCGTAGGGCGCCATCCGTCACCAGCTCCATCTCCAGCAAACAATCGAGCTCATCTCTTGCAAGAAGTGGCTCCAAGACTAGAACTCTTCGGCAGCAGTTTGGTGATCAATCGGCCACTTTCAGACGCTCGCTGCCTCCTATGGTTTCTCGAAATACCGAAAGTCCAGAGCCCAGTAATCGTGTCAGCAGAGTATCCGAACGCTGGAGACTCAAGGCTATGGGGATTGTGCAGATGCCTGATGGAACTGCTGTTCCTGAAAGGCTGGCGAACGAGATGCAGTATGGAAAGAAGCAGATAACAGGCAGTATGGGCCCGCCTAGTAGTAGCTTCAATCGCCGGGCCTCTATAAGTGACCTTGGTCATTCTGAGGAACGCCATCGCTTATCTGGGTCGCACGGCACCGTCGACACCACCGAATCTGATAGTTCTGCGAAGAACAAGAGAAAGCGGGCTACTGACGATGACGGTGAACCAGCTCAGGAGGACCAGGCCAAGACCAGCTCGCATAAACGGGTAATGAGCGATGCGCAAACTCTGATCAACGAACTCCGTGCTATGAGGGAGGAGATGGAAGAGGGAGCCACTTGGTTCAAAGACCAGAATGATAGGATGCAGAGTGAACTGATGAGCAGAGGCTCGACACCCTGGGATCAAGATGTGTGAAATTGTGAATAAAGAAGCAAAGACTGCTTATAATGAGGATGAACGTATCATCCGAAATATACACTGTGGTTGGATGGAAGGGAGTTGCATACACATTGCAACACTTGAGTTTTGACAGTTACTCCAGGTACCTGTATCGATGTGAAGTGATAGCATGATTTAGAGCTGGTTGGGAAAGGCATTGCATTATATGGAGAAATGGTTGAGCAAATATACACATCTGCATTTCAAGTCACATCACACACTCGCTGCCTTTTGACTCATCTCTCATTACAATGTCTTGCCACTGAATATCCTATAAATTCAGAGGCCTATATCCGTATGCACCGTGTTTGTTTCCCCATGAAACTCCTCCGCTCAGAGAAGCAATGTGAATAAGCAATCAGTACATGAACCTTACGATCGTCTGGCCTTTTTGGGTGGTGGATCAAAGACAATCTGAATATTTCGTGTTTCGGTGGGAGCTTGTGAATCTCTGGACTGCTTTTTCCTCAGAAAGCCTTTGCCCGAACCATTACTTGGTTGTTGCACCCAAGGATTGTTGCTATCGTGGCATTCACGTGGGAATGTAGCTGAACGGGGTGTTGTGATAGAGAAACCAGGACTAAATAGCGGGGATGTGATAGCTGGTGTACTGCATTGTGGCCCAGCTGAGTTTGACAATAAGGGTGCGTTCGTACAGCTTGATACACTTTCTGTCGGAGATGCATCCTCGCGATAGGGTGTGTGTAGAGGAGCTTTTGCCGGAGGCGGGTGCGGGATAGCGGTAGTGACAATGCCAAGTTTGTGGGTATCGTGTAGATTTCTCACTGCGCTACGTGGGTTCCAAAGTGCAGATTTTGACAAGTTTCGCTCTTCATCCATATATGGGGGGAGGTCGTGGAAGCCAGGGGTCCTTGGTGTAACATGTGTCTGGCAACGGAACGAGAGAGAAGAGCGTCTGATGCGAAGAGAAAGCTTTCTGCGCTTGCGATGTTGCATGAAGATACAACCGGCAGAAATGAGAAGGAAGGCGGCGGCACCAATCGCAATGGCAGCAATTGAGGTGTTGGGAAGGTCGTGGTTATCTCCTGGTGCAACCGAGGAAGATGGGTCTACAATCGAGATGGTCCCCTCGCTGAAAACGGTGTCATTAAGCCCTATAGGTGTTCCTGGTCTGGGACGCTGTTGGCATCCAGCATTGAGAGCAACAAGGACTACACAAAGAGACGGTTAGATGAATCCAGTAACTAGGTAATGGAATAACTTACAATTCGATATGATTGTCTGAGAGCTATCTGCCTTGACACATGCCTGGCATTTATCAACTGCGTCACCAAGCATAGCTTTGTCATCAGTGTCACAGTAATCATACTGCTCTCTGTCGTTAGGCTCGGTGATGCCCTTCTTCAGAGCATTCCCAATCGGACCACAAGCTTCAGATGTGACACAGGGGCCGGAACTGATGCCGGTTGCATTTGGGTAGCCGAAGATACAGTAGTCGAAAGAGTAACGCATATTGTCTAACGGCGGAAAAGTCAGATGACGGTGTTAAACAATTGTGTCCTTAGCATGACTTACACAAGAACCAATCTTGGTCACTTTCATCGCCCTGCTTGAAAGTACTGTCCTGCAAACAGGCCAGGCATCTTTGAAACTTCTGGCCATCTGCCTTCCTCTTGAAGTCATTATCGTCGCAGACAATCTCGTCGCCACGGGTTTCGTAGGAATCGGGATCGGACCGGTCAAGGCAGAACTGGGAACAGGGAGAGTTGGGTGTGACCTGCAGAGCCGAGACCGGACTCCAGAACAAAAAGAAAGGGACAAAAGAAAAGAGAAACATCATGGAGGTCCGCTGTGATGTTTAATGTTTCAAAAAGAAGGTCGCTGTTTCGATAAGCGACGTAAATGGTTTGATGGGTATCAAGGTCGATCTGAGGCCAGGCCCGCTGGGAAACAGCTCGATTTGAAAAATAAAGAAACGGTATTGAAATAAATGAATATGGCGGGCTGGTATACCAGATACTCTTATTACAACATGTTGGTATCGGTTGTTACATGGAAGGATATCACAATACAACACAAGTAGTGAATCAAAGGCGACGTTTGAATGAGTGAACGAGCGAGGAATAGAAGAGAATGAGAAGTGGAAAACAAAGGCAAGAGAAGTTTCGAGAACAGAGGGACAGAGAAGATGCGAGTAGCAGCCCTCTGAATATTAACTACCTAGTATATCTAGGTTCCCTAGTGTGAAAAGAGGACGAGAACTTGGGTGTCTTTCTCCATCACTCGATCGAGAACTGCAGATGCAACGCCACGCACCGCAGTAAGATGCATGCTCTGCCCTATATTGCACCTTGCAAGATTCAGCCGGAGAAGGCCAAGAGTTGAACGCGGCCGAAAAGGGGATCTGATTGCCGCGCTGTGACTCCCAATCACCCAATTCTCGGCTGAGAAGTGCCGCCAACTTGTCTGTGCCGCATCGATGTTTGTGATAGGAAACAACTATTCCGCAGGCGGTATCGAGGCGGCCCAAGCAGCGAACAAGGATTGATGGATAGTTGGCTGGTGAAAATGGATGCGGGCGCTTAAATTATATGAGATATGGAGGGTGTTAATGAGAGACGAACTAGAGTCTGTTTACGGAAGATTTTCTGGGGCCTCATTGGTTCGTGCCTCAAAGGGCCAGAAGATGGCTTTTACAACAGCGAATCAGAAACAAGGAAGGCGGTAGCGTAGTCCATTGGGCGGTTATTAATTCAGGGGCCCCAATAGCCCCAGCGCTTAGTTAAGGCTGGCCCTAAGCCGTAGCCTCTATCATATCACATCACACCTACGAACGTGCTTTCTCTTATGCAAACGACTATGAAGAAAATTTCTATGAAATGAATCAATTTGAAATCTAATCTATGAGATTAACCAGAAAACCGTTCCATAACACCAAAACTGCCCAAGATTTCCTGTCGAGGTATCACAACTCTCGTCTCTCGTTGCCGGTTCTTTTTTATTCTATTCGTAATCAAGTCCATATCCTATAGCATACATGCATCTCTTCCCCTTCCCACACCATGCATGAAACACCATGAAGTTACCATTTTCCGAACTTGTGCCTCCACCAGGACCTTTCAGGCCTAGAGCTGGTGTCTTGAGAAATGGAGATGACCCCCGGGTGTAAGGGCCCCCGACCCGGTCACTCATAGCCCACTTAACATCATAGGCATCGCCTGTGTACATGTGGCTACTGAAGAAGAGCAGATACTTGCCCTGCGCCGTTCGTACCAGGCTCGGAGCCTCAACCAGGGGCCCATCCTCGGAGGCGATCCGGTCCAGGATGTCCACAGGTTTGCCGATCGGTGTGGAGCCGTCCTTTGTCGAGACCTCTTGGAGTCGGATGGGAGTTCCCGAGCCGTTGTTGAGAGCGTTGCCGTCGACTTTATAGACGACATATCGTTTGTTTGTGGACTCGTCAAAGAAACCCGCCGGGTCGATTGCTCCGCCTTCGTCACGTGGGCAGGCAAAGGGTTTAGGATCCATCGTATATGGACCGGTACTATTGTGGGATCGTGCAACTCCGATACAATGTCCACCTTCAGGAAGTTCTCCAGAAAAGTACATTATATACGAGTCATCCTCTAGTTTCCGCACGTCAGGGGCCCAATAATTTCTGCCACTCGTCCATCCACGTCCTGGGAGGGCATCTTGTTGGAGGTGAGTCCACTCGCCAAAGGGATCATCTGCCACAGCGATCTGGATGTGGTAGCCACTACCACTTGTTGCAAAAGACACCCAGTGGTCGTCTTGATCTTTAAGAAGGCATGGGTCGGGGAAGTTGACTTCTAGTCGTGGGGAGAAAGACTTGTCGCGACCGCGACCTTTATGTCTTCGACTCAGATGCTGCTGTGGTGGTGGTAGCACGAAAGGTCGAAGAACAGGAGACGATGTGTTTGTTGGTAGGGCTGATGCAGTGTCGAAAAGAAAGATGAAGAGAAGAAAGAAGATGATTCGCCCCCAAGGGCTCGATGAAACGGACATGATGGGCATGTCCTCTGAGCTCAAAACTTTCTGGGACGCCGGCACTGCAGCATATAAATCGTTCAGCTGAGCCTCAATCTCGGTATCAGTTAATCTCGATGTCATGTATAGTCGATCACTGGGTCCGGGTAAAGCTGAAGGCTGACTGATCAACATGCTCTGACGTTGAGTTGTGAATCCTTGACCCAGATGAGAACTTGGCAAGTATTTATACCCCAAGAAAAAAACAGACTTTGCAGAAGAAGGTTCGGAGAAAATACGCCTACAAAGTGTAGATAGGCGAGTGATTCAATGACTGGTCTTGTTGGAAGTATTTTCCTGTATGAGCAACTCTAATTGATCTCCGAGAGAAGAGGCTTTGATATCAAAACCTTAGACGAGCATACGCACAACTAAACTCCGAGTTTTCCTCACTTTATACTTCTACTCTTACAGCCACAGGCCAAGCCATGGGACCTACATCCATCACTTACTACGTGACCCTCTTTGCTATCACGCCAATGCATTCTCAAGCAGGACAGAGACGGCCAACTAGGCGCTCTCTTGACAACAGTCCAATCTTAAGGCTACCCCTGATCTTAATAGGAACAAGCAAAGGAAGGGACCAAAAATTCAGCCAGTCCAAGTAAACGCCCAGGCCGGGATATTCCTTATCGTTATGCTGTGTCATGCGCTGGCTGCCAGAGTTGTAGCGACTTGAATCCTTTGCTTAGCGAACAGGTTGCTGCGGTGGGAGCCCACTCCTTCAACTATGAAACAGGGACAGCTGTTACTCAAGATGCGTTGCTTGAGCCTGATTCGTCCAATGTTTCCACCCAGATCCAATGTTTTGTTTGGTCAAGACTGGTTGCTTTTTGATCTGCGACTAATACGACAACAGTTGGATTGTTACTCGACAGTACGTATCAGGGACTTTCTAATGTTCCTCCTGTGGAACCCTGACTCAAGTAGACTATGCTCTATTTCGTGCCCAGAAAATGTGTCATCATACTTACAGTAGCCTCATGACAACACATGCATTGCCCAGACTTGATGGATGTTTCATGACGATGGGACCTCAGATCGGAATTCAACAATACTGTAACACTAAGAGCCACCATATTACGTGACCGCTACATTATGTGCCATGTGTCAGTGCGCCCCAAACCACGCCAGTCCTTACACACAGCGGTCACAAGCATAAACTACGGCAGATAGACATGATCCAACATCATACATTCACAGACCCAGACAGAAGGTTGCCACAAAGACACGCAGTAGTTTTATCGTGCTTTGCATTGAGTGCCTTGCATCTACTCCTACCAGGATTTTCGAACCAAAACGCCATGATAACCCCAAAAACAATTTCAAGCAGCCAAAAACGGCACGAGAGCAAGAATATGGTACAGCAAACAGACCGTTCCTTGCCAGCAGACCCTACGTCTCGGGTATCAAGATCTGCCTTCAGGTTTCGGCCTATACCCAAACTTGGCCTGGATTCCATTAGTCGCTGTCGCTGTCCATAGCCTCGCCCTTGGCAGCCTTCTTAGCAGCCTTTGCCGCCTTCTTCTCGGCCTTTCGTCGTTTTCGCTCAGCCTTCTCTTCAGCAGTCTCGCCATCGTGCTTCTTGCGCTTCTTGTCCTTGCTGTCATCAGCAGCAGGCGAAGAGGGAGCGGCAGCCTCCTCCATGGGAGTATCCTCGGCCTCGGAGGTCTTGGCGGGAGCAGCAGCAGCGGCGGCGGCAGAGGCATCGCTGGCGCTGAAATCCTTGTATTCGGAGCTCCATTTGGCAGGAGTGGCATCGTTAGGACGGCCGTACTTGTCGAGTTTGCCGTCAGCCTTAAGCTTCTTCTTCTCAAGGGCAACAGGGCCAAGGCCCCAGCGGCGAGGGTAGAGGTCGCGCTCCATGATGCAGCGCTTGACCTTGGCAACGACACCATGGTCACAGGTGGACATCTCGACGGTGGACATCTGAGCGATACCTAGAGCAATGGCTTCACCCTTGGTGGTCATAAGAACGACTTCCTCATGATGCTCAATGGCAGACTCTGGGAATGAATTAGTGAATTGCGACACGAATTGTCGTTTGAGGACTTACCGTATCGAAGAAGACCGGGAAGCATGAGCTTGGCACCATAGCAGACAGCGTTGACAGCACTGTCCTTGACGACAAGTCGCTTATAAGAAGTCAGGAGAGTCTCAAGAGGAGAGATAACCTTGCGAAGGTAAGACTCGTCGCGGGTGTTGTCCATTTGCCACTGGGCGTCGAGAACGTCGTGGAGAGTGACCAGGCCCTTAGACTCGTCCATAGCACCACTGCGAACACGTCGAAGCTCCTGCATGTGGCCACCGACACCGAGAAGGAGACCCAAGTGAACACAGAGGGTTCGGATATAAGTACCAGCCTCGCAGCTGACCCAGAAGACACCGAGGTGTCGGTCGTTGTCGAACTCGATAAGCTTGCTCTCGTGGATGGTTCGGATACGGAGCTGACGCTTAACGGCAGAGATCAGAGGGGGACGCTGGAAGAGCGCACCAGTGAGGGTCTCGAGAGCGCGGGCGAACTGAGCCTGACCACCGGGCAGCTTGTCGTGAAGGCGGATGACAGCCACATACTCCTTTCCAGCACCCTGCTGGGACTTGACAAGACGAGTGGCACGGTCAATGCAAACGATCAAGCAACCAGTGACCTTGGGATCGAGGGTACCACTGTGTCCAGTCTTTTCGCATCTATAGGTAATATCGTTAGCAGATAGTTCGACTTTGACGCGCACATTAACGCGATACTGTTGGTTTGAAAATTTTCGTACCGAAGAATGCGCTTGACCCAAGCGACGACCTCGTGTGAAGAAGGGTTAGAGGGCTTATCGAGGTTGATGACACCAGAGCTGATGTACTGCTTAAGATCGCGCTTCAGAGGAGAGCAGCCATTGGGGATGGGAGTGAAGTGGCCTGTTCGGACAAGAACTGCAAGTTTTGAAGATTACCAGTTAGTCTTTGAATCTTGAAGAAGGGATCAATTGAGGCTTCGCAAGCCACCAAAAAATATCAAAAACGCGCTTCAATCATAGAATTCTATCAGGAGACTCACGCTTGTCGTAGTTCTTGAGCAGGAGAGGCCACTCGCTGGTGTCGAGGGAAGGAGTGGTCGCCTGAGGCTTGATGGTGTACTCCTCCTCTTCTGTTGTCGTCTTCTTGACGACCGCGACGTCCTTGGACATTTTGAACGGAATGTAATTTCCCTTTTGAAAATCTGTGTGATATACCGGGTGAAGCGCGGCAGGTGCTTCTTTGCGACAGGAGGGAAGAAACGGAAGGTGCGAGTCGTTGGTTTCCTCAGTGTCTTGCCCGGTGTTGTGGTTGGAAGCTTCCAAATTTTTTTTTCTCTGGTCGGATTTCATTGTGGGGACCGAAGGAAGCTGCGACCGGTGTGTGGCGGTAATTAGACACTAAGCCTAATCTGGTTACCTCGACTCTTGACCTCACATCAAAGCCACGGTTGACGCCACACCAGCTTTTCACGAGTCTCGATATAGGTAAGTAAGGTACCTTAGGTAGTACATGGGACTTTTTGCATCGCGGACTAGGTACCATACTAAGGTAAGTGCCTAGTAGCTTCCCATTTTGTAGGAAGAGCAAAGGCAATAATAGTATACAAACATTTCCAGCTAGGTAGGTACTATCTAGAGACTACAGTCATCACTGGAGAGTTGCTAATATCAAGAAATTTTGCAAAATGAAATTGGTATCCCTGCTATTAAACTCCAAGCCTCCAATGATAAAGAACACAGTTAATGTGGGTGCGTTAATTCATTTCTCAGAGTCTTTCAAGCATTATGGTCTCCTCCCCCTGTTATCATCATTATATATGTCTTGATATTCATGCCCTTGACCCTGATATATCTGGCCTTGGTGCACGTCTCCATGAGCGAAATAATCGGGTTGTGAATATAATCTCTCGAGGTGCTCGGGCTGGTAAATTCCAATGGCACCATGAGACCGACCATCCACGGGGTACATCTCGTATGACTCGTCTCTATCTTTGCCCTTTGACTGGGGAGTGTTGAGCGACGAATCATCGCCACCTAGAGCTACGCCAATTTGTGATCCTGAGGGGCTCGGGTCGGGTTTGTACATGGAAGGGAACATCTCAGGATACGGATGAGGATTCGATGCATGACTGGGCATCGGCGGATTCGCTTGTTGGTTGGGGTTCATCACCGGCCATTGGGCCAGTTGCAGCTCAGTGGCGCTGACAGGACTGCCGAACTGAGAACCGTAAGGGGAGACATATCTCGGGAATGTCTTTTCGGATCGAGCGCTGACGGGAGATTCGTCCCAACTTCTGAACGGCTTTTGGCTTAAGGGTGTCTCTCGCATGTCGTTGTCGTTGGAGATGTGTAATGGAGTAGGCCAACCTCTCTTAGGCCAACTACCCTTGGTACGGGGTCGGTTCTCAAGCTGTCGCAAGAAAGCCCGTCTCCGTCTCTTACCACGCCAAATGATACAAAATCCAAGGATAAACAATAGAAATACCACACCTCCGGCAGCGATCCCGACCTTAGCACCGAGACTGATAGGACCTTGGTCGAGCCAATCCGGATCCATAGAAGCTACAGGTGTAGGCTCAGTGACGTTGACAATGTCTTGGGAGAAGAGGCCGCCATCAACAGATACTGTAATCCCAGGTTGTGGCTTTTGCTCGCATCCAGCTTGAAGTAGAGTAAAAACTGTTTTTCATCAGCGTTTGCCCAGCCATGGGCTTATAGCAGGTGCTTACAGTTAGCTAAGTAATGGTTATCGCCCGCCCGCAGGCAATCTGTACATCCATCGAAGTCAGGTGTGTCTTGAACCGGCCAGGTATCGCAGTAATCATAGCTTTGAATGTCTGAAGACAGGTTCTTGTACTCGACGGCTTGGCGGAATGGTCCACAAGCTTTTCTGTTCATATTGTGAGTTCAAAGTAGATGGAAGACAAGCATAGAGATTGGGCTAACATACGAGGTTAAGCAAGGAGTGTTGATAACTTTATTGTTACCAGGAACACCGAACAAACAATATGAGACTGCATAGCGGACATTGTCTAAGGACGATCACGTCATGTTAGCCACTTGGGAAAATATATAGACAGACAAACTCACATAATAACCATTGCTGGTCTGTTTCGTTGTTCTTTGTGTGATAGTCACTGCCGAGCTCACATGCCACACATTGTTGATAAACAATTCCTGCGCCACTCTTATAGTCGTCTTCCTGGCAGACGATATCGTCGGTGGTAGTGGCATCAAGGACGTTACCACACAGCGTCCCGCATGGTGAGTTTTCCGCTACCAAGATGGCGGCGACAGAGCTGAGTGTGCCCCACGTGGATATCAAAGTTGAAGTTTTCATCGTAGGAGAATAAGGCTGTAGGACTTGGCCAGCTCGTGGGCTGCAGGTTTGAGATAGACGCGACCAAAGCGGGGGACTTGTCCGAAATTAAGAACCTCTTGTGTCACATGAATAAGGCCCGACACAGGTCAATTCAGCGATTTTTGAAACGCCAGAATATTGGGGGCGAAAGAGCGAACGATGATCGTGGTGCTCTTATAACAAAGATGAGACAGAACTGAACCGCCCATCAGATGTGACAAACGGCTGTGCCTGGAACCAACGTGTGAAAACGGTGGGAGATGCTGCAGCAGCACATACACGGCGGCTGGGAAAGATCAGAACGTTCGATAGCCCAGCTCTGGTTATGAGTGTGACAATTCGAATGATGCGAGTGATGAGTTGCAATGGCGCGGTGACAGTAGAGTGCAGCCGCCAGTTCTTGAATGTCCCGACATCTCTTGTCGCGCGGGATATTGATTGGCACAAGGAATATCTGGGGGCGCAAAACACCATTGGAAGATCCGCGGTACAGCGGCACTCTATATCACAGCATGTTGGAAGCAAGAGTCGATTGGGATTGGCCACCGGCAAAGGACGCGGTGTGCATTACAGCCTTTGGTGTTGATGAGAGGGAAATAAGTGAGGGGTCCAACCACTAAGAATCGATATCACCTACACCACCCAGTCCCCATCACTCCAACCGGGAGGTTTCTGCATGGACCCTGGACTTTTACACTAGCTTCGGCGGCAAGAGAATCAATCATCGGTCAGGATACCCCTGTCCGGGTGGGCTACCGAGTCTAGCGGAGGTCTCCCGGGGCCGGACCCACATTGTCAGTTAGTGATAAAGCCACTCTAGGCGACTATCCGTACTTGACCATTGGATTGGAGGACAGACACAGCTTCAACTTTGAAGTGCTTGCAGGAACATAATTATGCAGATAGGTTGCTGTGAACTTGTGAAGAACCACTGTGGTATGCGTGACACGTAGTCCCGATGTCACCGCAAATTGTCCCACAACAGTATACAACTTGTTTGAACCTAGGTAGCTACACATGAAGAAGGTAAATAAATGATTAGTTATTTCTAAGAATACGAAGAATAAACTTAATGGAACAGCCTGAAGCTGCTTTTGCCACATATCGCCGTCTCTCTATCGGTACTCTTTGTCAGTCATGTAAACATGAAGACTCCATGAGTTCGCTCGATCTGTGGCCGCCAAAATAGTGTTTCATATACAAAATTCATAATCATGGCAAAGGGCCTCTCTCTTCGTGCTGTGAGCCCTCGAGTGATCCAAAGACCAACAGCCGTTGAGCCGAATAGTGCACCACAGATACTTTGAGTTTCTTCGAACTATATCCTCTACGAAGTGGAGTATTGACCAGAAATGCACCAAACAGAAATACTCCTGAAATTCATAAGACTCCGTTGTGCGACTGTTCATAGGCATAATTGATCCACGTCCATCCCCGTTACCTTTTATTGATTTACTTTAAGGACAAATGTTTTTGAGAAATTGAATTAAACAGTATGGTCATGATTCACAGAACTCCTTTCCACAAACTCCCAGCTTAATCCTGACGCTATTTGACAAAAGAAGCCCACAGACATGAGTTGGAGGGAAGAGTGTAGTGGCAAAATCCGACACAGCCATCTAAGCAAACCAATACCAGCTGTAAAAGGGGGTAAAGGACATGATATCCCCCGATCTTCCACTCACAACATGACAGGCCTCAAGAAGCAAAGTACCAGTGGTATCATAACTGACAGCTACTCGCGAGGGCAGCAATATTGCGGATCTCCCTTGACATCTATCTTATTCTCCATACCACACCATCCAATATCTATACAGAATATCCATCATATCAATCTTAATCGTAGTGCAACATGACAAGTGCTGAAGCAAATGGTTGCACAAATTGATCATGCTAATACATGACTGATAAAATGTCAAGAAACTAGGCCACTGGTTTTGGAGACACACTGGACGTGTCCCGAGTGGTGACTTCAGCACATCGGGAGGTCGGTGTTTTCTCAGGGCCATTCAAGCTACCACCAAAAAGTGGTTTAACCTCTAAGTCGTTTGTGTTGAGTATCATTGCCTTGGGTGTTGATGGGTTGAAAGAGGGCGTCGCAGGAGACCGGCCGGGTGTCGAAATGGTTGGAAGCGTCTCTGCAAAAGAGCCGCAATCACTGGCTTCGGCAGCCTCATTCTGGGAACATGACTGAATGTCATTATTTAAGTTGAGGACAGGTTTCTCAAAGACAAGCTGACCGGTGTCACCTGATGATGCCCGGCGAGGTTCTGCCGGTTCAGGTTGAAGATACCGAGATGGACCAGCACTCGAGGCCGGCCTCGGGACAGGAGAAGATTTGGGGGGTGATTGAGGCGCAGATGCTGGATGCCCAGTGCCTTGTTCATCATTAGCGGAGGATCGCCGGCCATGAACAGGGCAGCTTGGACAAATCACGGCCTCAACCCTTTCGAACTCCTCTGTATTGCCTGCGTCGGACCGACGGCGCGTGGTGTGAGCAGACGAGGTTCTGCCAGTCCGAGATGGTCGATTTTCTACTCCTTGTTGATGAACACGGCTATGAAGTCTGTCATTCCTCGTAGAGTCTGCAGACGATGCTCGTTCCGCAACAGGCGAGACCGACTCGATAACACCGTTTGTTGCGAGACTTTTTGGCCCTGGGGTTCGGCCTCTGCTTGCAGCACGCGAGGCTGGGCGGGCCATCTCAATCGCTGATTTGGGTGTAGCAGAACGGTCATTACCTGGGATGGGAGTTCGGTTCGATACGAAGGAGTTGCTCCGCTGGTGATACGTTGCGCGGCTCAAAGACTGATATTGGTTCTGCTGATCTTCCTTGAGAATGCTGGGGCTTGCAGCAATACGGATCATATGTTGTTCAGGCTGAATGTTGACAGCTTCACCGATACGCTGACGGCTGTTGTTCCTAGACTGAGGGGATTGAACGCGGTCACCAACAGGAGTGCCTGCAGCAGAACCTGCCCTCATCCGACTCGCGGATTCAGCTCGCAGAGAAATACCTTCCAGGTGCAACGAGATTGCAGCATTGGTTTCCCGGTCGCCAAGTGCAGATCCGGTCCTTTCATGCATCCTTGAGCGGCTAGCATTTCGAGATTTCGGGGATGACGGTCGCGCGAGTGATTTGTTTTCTTTCACAGAGCCCTGAACGGTACCTTTGGAGTTGACAGATGATACTGAACGTGCAGATCTTTCGCTTTTGGTAGTTCGGTTTGATGAAGAGTTGGACTGAGGGGACTGTGAATGAAGATGTCGAAAATCTCTTGGGGTGGCATTGTCTCTCATCCGCTCTTTGTTGTTGTTACGATCTGGAGGATGCGCATTCCCTGTTATAGCAGGCCACGGAAATGGCTCTGGCTTTCTTCCAATAGGTGTGCCAGGTGTCCATCCACCAGCAGATAGCGGCGTTCGCATCATGTTGTCAGATGGTCGCCAATAGTACTGCTCGGGTGAGATTGGCGATATATCTTCAAATGGAGTATTCGGACTGAACGGTCCCGCACTCTCAATGGTCACATGGCCGCCGTAAATGATTTTCTCTGAGGGAAAGAAATTCTCAGGGTAGCCACTCAAGGGTGCCCCACTGTCTGGATACGGTGTGCTCTCTTCTGGCGGTCGTGGATTTGTGCGAATAGTCTTGATTGAAGCCTCAGACTGATCAGATTTGACGGACCGAATAGATCTCTCTGATCTCAATGAGGCAGCACTGATGGGATGATCTGGAGGGTACTGGTGAGGAAGTATGGGAGGCGATTCGGGGATGATTAGTCGAGGTCGAATCGCCATGGGCGTTGGGCTGGGAGCGGATGGTGTTGGGATGTTGAGACTATCGTTTCCGGGGGAGCGTGCCGAGTTCATCTTCAGAACTGACGACTCTTTGGGTATAGTGATATCAGGTGGGTGTCGTTTCCTCGCCGAGGTATCCTGAGAGTTCAAAGCCAAGTTTTCAGGAAGTTGGGGAGGCGGTGGTAGTGGCGCAGTAGGTGACTTGGGCTTTTCTTTCGAGTTTGGGGATCCAAGGCTCTGATTGCTGGTCTGGCCGTCGCGAGGCTTGTCGCTTGGTGCAGCCTTTGGGTCATTCTTCTTTCTCGTATCAGTATCCGGTTTCTTCGATTGTTCAAGATGTCCAGGGGCTTCCATGCCAGACCCTCCGGATTCTGGTCGATATACGAGCTTAGCATACGGTGAGTTGTTGGTGTCGACCACGAGCAATTCCTTTTCTCCGCGTCCCAAAAGGCCATAAACCTTGACCTCGCCATCGTGAATTCCGATAACTGCACTAGTTCCGGCATATAAAACTTCGTCCTCGTTTCCACAGCGATTGCAGAAGACGACAACAATCTCATCTTGGTTATCTGAACGGATAAGGGGTTCGAGTCGCGTAACCCAGTATGTCAGAGTTTCCATGTCTGGTTCATTGGGCATACGAGTGAACCGCCGCGGATCTTCCCTGGTCATCCATGCCATGGACACGATGACTAGATTGGATTCCACTTCCAGGATGTGAAATGCAAACTCGAAGGCATGCCAAGGTGCTTCAAACTTATACGGACTGTTTTTTGTCAATAAACACGATTCAATATGCTGGTAGGAAGTACAAACTTAATATCCATACCTATTGCAGGTTGTTAGTAAAGACACAACTTCACGAAGAGTTGACTTACAAATGCCGATACTGGTATTTCCAAGCCCAGGTATGAAGCCATCATAGAATCCACGATTACCTTCCAATGCCCATGTCTCATCGGTCTGATATAGGAAAGACTTCCTATAGTTTGCGATCGTCTCGCCATCTCCATTGACGACAATGACTGAGTTGTAATATTCAGGGCCAGTAGGCCATTTTGGCGAAACGTCGACTTTCTCAGGATACCCGACAGTAACAACACAATTATACTTGAGTGCGATTGTTCTAGCCCAGAGAGACGTGATGCCAGAGCCGGAAGGTTCGAGAAATGGGGTAATGTCTTGCAGCGACTTGAAGTTGTACCCTTTCACAAAATGTTAGCATGGCGGCAGAAGGAAGTGGAAAAGATTATTACCGGAGAAAGCCAGCTCGGGCAGAACTAAAACGTCTAAATCATCGGGATTTGCTCTCGAGAGGACAGCATCTGCACGATTTAGGTTGTTGTCGACATCTCCCACCTGGGGCGCGAACTGCAAGCAACCAATTCTCATGTCTGCGACCTATAATCGAACCCCGCAGCAGCAACACGCCTTCCTCTGGCAACGTCTTGGGACTAAAATGTGAGATCTTAATGGCGGCTTCGTGATTGCGATTGAAAAAGAATCGAGTGTGAAAGATTAGCAATGCGCAAAACAAAACAAAAAAAGATCAACAGAAGAACATTAGAGCTGACAGGGTCGAAGGTGAGAGAAGTTCAAGTGGAGGAGAAGATGGGAAAACGACCACACAACACTAAGAGCGGAGTGAACCGGATTTAGTTCAGACCAGCGAGGGCCAGAGTGATTTAAGACAGTGATGCCCGGAGGCTGGAAATACTACCAAGCCCCTGTAAGGTGTTGGTTGTTAGATATACATGGCATTATGTATGTTGGTTGTGTTAACTACCAGCGCGTGGTCAGTCCTATCCCATCATATCGCTCAGTCTGTCTCTCCTGTAGGCCGCTTGATGTGATGGTGGGCAATGAGGCAGATAGTGGAGAAACGGTCGGCGGAGAGAAGGTGCGGCTGTAGTGACGTGAGCCCAACCAGGGGTTGCCGTTACGCGCTTTGAATGGGGCTTGACAGGGACCAGGGTGTCTGTCATCCTAGAGTATTCCTGGGGTCCCTTGTTCGTGATGATCCTCGCTTGAGCGCTTCCATCTTCTTCGACTGGCTCCTAAGAGCTCACGAGGAAACTTCCCCAATAAAAGCCTTACCAGCGTTTCCTTAACGCGCCTGTGCATAGTCTTAGTCTGACAGGATCTTATGATGTTGTAGCTGGCATGCCTGGGGATGATCACTCTTGCACTTCGTAGTACGGTTCCCATCCATTCTAATCAGTGAGCGCTCATTTATATTCCTGGTCCGTCTCCCGCATGTTTGCAAAGTGTTTACATGTTCACCCTGTCCATAGTACTAGATGGGGATGAGGTGGACAGGCTCCGAGTCCATAGTTCATGATATCTCTCTTCTTATTACTCCTGGCGTCTTACTGAAATTCAGGTGCTGAACCTTTGAGCCGACCGTTGAGCTTGAAACTAGTATCTACTAAGAAGCCGGCTTTTAGACAGTATGGTAGACAAACAAGAGTCTTGGTTAGTTTCCTACCGAGAGCTTATAAAACTTCATATTGACTCAAAACCGATTACGATATAGGTAACTTGCCATCCTAGATGGTAGGGCTATCTGTTCTTGAGGTGAGGGTAAACTGACAGGATCCATGGATATCGCTATTGGATACCTATCCACAACCCAGGTATGGTTGGTTATCTGGGTAAGTATCCGTAAGGTAGGTAGTAATTTAGGCATGGCCTATCAGAGACCGGAAGTTTTGACATTGACAGCTCGGCAATACATTCTTGTTTCCCCACGTTTCCAGGCTGTCGTTTTATTAACATCGCCGCATCTCTAGAGGTAGGTTATTTGCATTCGGTATTAAACAAGTCTGATAGGTATCTATGTGCGATCCCAGTATTCGCTTCATGCATCTATTTTCCACTTCCCCCAGACTACAAAAAAACCTCAGCCGGAGGCAACGGCCTGATGTGGAATGGGCATTGCCTCAGGCGGCCTTTTATTGGGGGGGAAAAAGTGCGTAGCAACCAACAGTCCCAGCGGAGACTTGTCATCCATTTTCCCTAGTCTAGTTGTCACATCATCACACGTAGACAGGATGCTGGTTAATTGAGGGCGCTGGGTACTTATTATTGGATTCCGATAACTCGGTTCAGGCGCGAATTTGCAGTCCTCCATTCGTCGAATGCAGTGGGAAACACGACTGTCCAATGACAGAGTAATCTGACACTACCTCATCCTGTATATCGCTGCACGAGACAAAATCCAGGCATGGATGGCAATCAGGATGTTAGGATGTCGTGCCAGCATGGCGACCGTTCTCTCCCCCGCCTCGGTTGCCTCACAAACCTGGTCAGTATGCACTTCGATATCCAATCTGTTGAGGACAAAGCGACACCGTTGCGAACGCGCACAAGTTATCACCCATGTGATCAGATCGTCATCGCGGGCTGGGCCCTGGCCAGCCGTTTTTAGAGTATGCGCTCAATGCCACAGAAGTCGTGGGTAGCGATTTCACCTGAAACGACAATACCGCGAATATTGGTTTACTGTGCTCACTCGTCAAGGTTCAAGACTGTATCTACCGATCTTTTGCGTGTGTGTAATTTCTTGTTTTTCCGGGGCTTAACGAGGTGTACGAGTGGTACTACGTGGCAGTACAGACAAGTTTGAGCCAACAGGTTGGGGTCCTGCACATGTTGGCAGTCCATCGTACGGTTGAAACCTTGATCAACCTCGGACATAACCTTCCGAGAATGAGGGGAAAGCCACGGTTCTCATTTCACACTGCGACAGGCGAATGACTATCGGGTAGGTCATGTTTGAATAAGTCTGCTTCAAGTATTGTTTGTTTTTTTAGACTCCCTCTCTTGTACCAATTGTGTTGAAATGTAGGAGAACAGTCTGGATATCCTCAAATGCATGGTGCTACCTGTGTTGTGAACCTATAAATTTGGCGAGGTGCTATTTTGTAAGATCAAGTGCAGGAAAGAGAGGAAGAAATAGTACAACGTTCGACAAAATTTCCAAGGTAGCCACCTGTATTTGCGTACAAAACAGAAACAATTAATCTGCAGTAATGCGTGGAAATGTTATCAGATTCCTGAGTACCTATAGAAATGGAATTGCCTGTCGCCCAAAATCTTTGCCGTAGTAACAGGCAGTTCGGCCTGTCATGATATCCAGGTTGGCTAAGCTGCGCTGATCATAACGCAGCAAGAATTTCCCATGTGATATCACGAGTATGCTGATTTCAGAGACAGAAACGAACGGGTCCTGTACCGACCATAGAAAGGTCTAGCTAAGCATATAAGGTAAAGGGTAAGAGACACATGGGTTGATTGGATCGAAAGAGCAGAATATAAAAACTTTCGGTGAGTGTTTGGCACAACATGAATTGCATTGAAAGACGACCGTATACTAGATCGAGGGCCTAGGAACTGATCAAACGGAAGCCAACCGCATAATAAACTACCTATCTCCCCCAATTACCGTACTCATACTCCAGCCACTGTGACCTCTCCTCCTCTTAGTGGCCTGCGAGGTTTCTTGTAGTGCCAAAATATTCCGTACAGCTCCAGTGCGTTTTGTGAGAGTTGGAGTTGCTTTGTGTAGATCAATGTTGGGAGAGTATTGAGACTGGCAAACACGAGTTTAAGTAGATGCGATTAAACGACGATTCATCACGAAGAAATCCATTCCACATCAGGTAACGCAAGGTCACCTTCTCATATCAACAGGGCTAAGCCTCTTAATAAATCCCTACCATGCAATCACAAATCTGATTAAAGCCTCGCCCAATCGCGGAGGTGTCTTCCTCACGCCCGCTGGTTAAAGTGCACATGCAACTGTTATCACAGTCACATCGCTAACAACCGACGTTGGGATGTTGCTAATTTGGGCAACACGATGGCCACGCGAGCAGAAATGTTAGACAACCTTAATCGCGCCTGCGGCAATATGAGCGCTTAACAATTATTAGTGTCCCACCTAAACGAACAAACCAAGAACCCCTCGTTACCTGTATTCAGCGAATTGTCTGGAGTGAACGGACCAGCGAGGAGCTCGGGTTGTTGCAAAGAATTCATATGCCATGGACCAGCTGGACAAGGCTGATCATTGAGCGTAATTGAATTGAAGGACCAAGCAACTGGGCTTCTTCTTACCCGTTGCCCTGTCTCTCTTAAGAAATATCGAGATCCGGGTGTCTGGGGTACACCTTACTGTTCCCCTTGGTAGTCCTGGCCAATCAATCTCTTCGTTCGCTGAAGAACAGATCAAGGTTAGCATGTTTCCAAACTTTCTTTCGGCCAAGCATAATATAGAAAGACCTGGCCGCACAACTGGCCGGCGTCTGACGGCCCGGGACACTTTTCCGCGCGTATTGATTTGCTTCCATGACAGCTGAGGCCATCAAGCCTCTCCCGGTTAGGAGTCTTGTATGTAGCCGCCGAAGGAGTATTATACTAGCTCCTGATTGGTAGTTGCCTGGGCCCCAGTCAGTAAGAGCTCAAGTCATGAGAATCTATTGGCTCTGGTGTTACATCCCAGGCTTCAGGTTTCTATTCCTGGATGGCACACTCTTACACTCTTGATGTCGTAGGCAGGCGATTATTCGCCCTATGAAACAATAATTTCTAAAAACACTATAGATATCTACTCCAAAATGGGAAGGCTTGACATTGATAACCATGTAAGCTAATGGAGATCCTTGAAGATTTGCCAATCGCCTAGCGCCACTATTACAATACGTTCTGATAAAACTGACATTACATCCTCATGCTCTATTTGGAGAAAACATTCCATGAACCAGCATCCCATATTTCGTTCAAGTAGGGGAAAATATCTCCTTGTTCCAGTTTTCACGTAACATACAAACAAACAAACAAATTCTTTAGCCAAACATAAGGAACGGACACCAACATATCGATAGCTCACGACTCAGCGCCTGTCATGCTTGGTGCTTTACCTTGACGAATCCATAACCTCTTTGGCGGTTCCAACGCGTTTCTCTAACCTGTCTCATTCTCACAACTCCCAAAAACCCATTGAATATGAAGAGAGTTTCATGGGCCTTGAGCAACTTGGCTCTCCTTCTTCCGCTTTCCTTTGCTCTCCGAGTCACACCCAACTCCGAATGCACAGCGCTCTGCTCCGACGGCACAAATTCGACTCTCAATGATGCCAGCACCGCCGCCACGAACTCTTCTGATGTAGTTTGCGGAGACGATGAGTACTCGGAGTCAGGGAATGGCATTAGGTTTAAAAATTGCCTCAGCTGTCTTCAAAAAAGTGAAGCGATATGGAAAGACCAAAGCGATGTGTTTTGGTTTTTGTGTAAGTACAAAATCTGACGGTTTTCCTTTAATTGTATCCTAATATGAATACGACATAGACAATGTCAGATACGCCTTCGATGTCTGCCTGTACTCTTATCCTAATGCGATAGACTCGGGTACCATCAACTCTCCTTGCAATATCGAAAGCTCTTGCGGATCTCTCGAAGATGCTTTGACAACGTCTTTGCTCCAGAAAAGCAGCGATGACCAATTCGCGTATTGCGAAGCGGATGATTCAATAATCAAGAGCGCCAGCTACAAGGAATGCATTAGCTGCTTGCAATCGACGTCGGACCAAAAGTACCTCGCGAACTGTAAGTAGTTGTTCTGTTGTTGAGCATTCAGTGTCATCATTATTAACATTCTGATAGTCCTGGTAGCATTGAAGGCTGGCTGCATTCAGAAACCCGAGAAAGGAAACATCATTGGCCTTAGTGGGACGATATTCACTTCTTCACTTATCAACATTACAGACCCAAACACCAATGAGACGTTACCAGGTGATGGTGGTGCTCCCGTCGGTTCAATGACTACCGGCACTATCGTGGGTATTGCCGTAGGATGTGGGTTGGGTGTAGCTGGCTTGGCTTGGCTCCTTTTCATGTACTGTCGACGAAGCCGACAGCGTTATGGAGCAGGAATCAAGATTGAGTCACCACCCCCAGATGCCCCAATGAACGTCCGCTCTACATACGGCATTCAGAAGTCATCGTACTTTCAAGGTGATACCCATGGACGACGTCCACCACCTATCCATGACCCTGCGAGAGGCCATATACGTACTATGTCCAATGCGCAGTACCACGATTCCGTTGAACGAGATATGATGGACTCTCATCTACATGTCAGCTACCACTATGCGCCGCACTCGAAGACTAATGGCCCAAATGCCGCGCTTCCAACACATCCGGCATATATTCCACGAGTTGTGAGCAAGCTCCCGGAACCTCACATTATCACCCACAACCGCAAGACTCACGCTCCTGATTCGTATGCGCTCCAAACATATCTTAATGCTAGGGATGATTTTGGTATACATCATGGTTCTGTAAACGATGCGTCGTCGAGCGGTACTGTTTCGAGCCGAAACCCATCACCTTCTCGACAGGAGAAGCTTCATGAGCAAGCAGCTTCCGTCGCTCCCCAGCAGAATTCTCAAATAGCGAGGCCAAGGCTCCCCTCTCTCTCGTTTCCTTCTCTACATAGACTCATCATTCCAAAAAAGCAGGTCGTTCCTCCTCCGGAAGTCAACCTGCTATCAGCGACACCAATATCGGCATTGAGCGCTGACCCTCACCGAGAGTTAAGGATCTCCAAACCCTTAGCTGTTCTGGATCCTCGATTCCAGGACAAACCCCTAGGCGGAGGCCCCGTCATGGCCGAGGGTGCACCAGCAACATTCAGCGATGAATATTTGAAAAGGCGAGAAGCAAACAAGTCTCCTATGTTGAGTGGTAATAGTCGCGTCTATGGATGACAAGAGTTATAATTTTACGTGACGAGTGAACGAATTACGGTAACAATGGTGTCGTGGATTGTTTTGCTCGGTTCAAGCCTGGAGTTATTCGGTTAATATATCTGGGTTTAACGCCCTCTAGATCAATATGATACGATTGGTGGGGTATAGGAGTTCATAGCGATAAACATTCCCTCAATTTATTGTACACACTATAAGTGACTATTCAAGGTGAGCATGTTTCAGCCTAGTCGCTGGCCTGGGCCACGAGACCGCCACGAATCTGGCAAAGGGCCTGTGTTGACACCAGTGCTACGCCCAGAAGCCGGGGCGTTGCCAGGTCGGACGGCGGTACCAAATCCTCTGGCAGAGACTCTTGGTGTCTGCACAAGACGCTCAAGCCAGGCAGGAGTTCTCAAAAGTCGAGGACCATTCCCGAACTCAGGCCAAATTCTAGTGAGAAAATCGAATAAATGGGCAGCGAGTAGACCCTCAATTTCGACCAATGCCTTCTGCGGTCCTCCCATAAGCGCGGTGACAACAATCATGCAGATTGGCAGAGCCTGTGCAGGGATGGTAAGAACGAGATACTGTGTCTTCTGGCCTCGCTGGTCTTGAGTAGTGGTGTAAACCATGGCAAGAATGAGGCCGTTCATATACAGGAAGCTCGTCAGGCCGGCAAGGTAGTCGATCATCTAGCGACGTCGTTAACCTCAGTACAGGCACATGATATACGGGTACGTGTTTGGGATATAAGATGTTTTATTGCTATGATATAAAAATGTAGGGAGCTAAAAAACCACTCGAGTGAATTGAGGATCACACGAGCCATCCATATAGACATCCCACCATGCCTGCACCGCAGACCAACCCGGAAATGCGAATGATGGGTGATCCGAAGTGCAGGGGTGATCTTCCTCATTTCCAGGAACCGTGATAGCTGAAGAGGCAAAGCACTATCCGGGCAGATATATGAGGGGGGGTTTGAAAGGAACACATGGGAGAGTAGCAAAGCACGGGTGTGTAGACACAAGCTTACCAGAATTACGGTGCAGACAAATAATATGTAAAACACGAGATCGACCTTGCGCGGGAAACGTGGGTTCCCCATCTCCAACTGAACGCTGTAGCGATACAGGAAGAACGAGTTGAAGAGCAGGTTGATCGGCTTCAATTCAATGAAGAAACATGTTACGAGGCGCCAGATTTGAGGTGGAAACATCCAAAGGTAGGACGGATGATGTATCAGGTGTATCGTTGGTAGTAACCCGACGATGCAACCAATGGAGGTCAACACTGTAGCAGTAATAAGGTTCCTATGACACAGTTAGCATGTGCTCGAGAGCACGAATGAAAACGAAGAATGACTTACCGAGAAACGGGTGGCAGGGCCCAGTAGGCGGCCATCACATTGTCAGCCATGTTGGGCAACTTTGCTCAATGCGACAAATACGGTTGTGGTTGTAGCAGGTCAACAGTAGCTGAGTCAAGAGTACTTTTTCTGCACCCAAGGAAGAAAAAGAAAACAAGTGAAGGTTCAGCGAACGTTTTATGTAGAAAGAGAAGAAACATGGGACTTTGCGAAACCAGGCAACCAGGAGCTCATGGTTATTGCTTGCGTGTCATCTTCGTTTCCGAGGTTCTTTGCCCTTGGAAGAGTATGGAAGGAAACAAGGTGACAGCTTGAAAAAATTCCCAATAAATGAGCAATCCGTTATAGCGGGGCGCCAGATCGGGGCCGACATTCCGCCGAGATTGGAGGCCCTAGCTGTGGCTAGTAAGAGCTCGCGCCACACTTGGTGAAGTGTGTGTCATGGAAGCGGAAGTGACCGGGCTTCGGGATTCTCAAGCTCACGAACATATCGTCCGATATTGGTGTAAAACTTTTTATTTTATTCACTCGTCAATTGGCTCTGGAGCCCTATGATCTACTGAGTTTTGAACCCTGGGCCCAGAGGCATCAAACACCGCAAAGATAAGATCAAACCATCATCATGCGTGCTCACGATGCTATGCAGAGCGACGAGGCCAATGATGCCGCTTGGGAGGCTGCCAGAGGAGGTGTTGCAGGTGCAGTCAAGTGGGGAATAGGTGCCGCGGTGTTGGGTGCTGCAGGATACATCTGGTCGCCGTTGTATCGATCCATGACGATTCAATTCAAAGTGTAGGGCTCATTCTCACAGCTGATCTGTCCTGGTACTGACCTTTTCAAGGTATCTTCAAATGTGTGGCATGGTGCCTGGAGCCATGATAGAGGCTGACTCACGGCTCAGAGCATACGAGCACCGAGTGAGAATGCAGCGGCGGTTGATGGGAGACAGGGCTAAATGGGAACGGTATGAGGAGGAATTCATTAAAGGTGATGGCAAGTGATCGCCTCTGGCCCGGAAACAGAGTCCCTATGATTTCAATATCTCACTGAAAAGTCTGACTGTAACTGCTTGGGGTATAACGGCGTACATATGTCACATTAGAGATGACCATCGAGTCGTCTGTGTAAATCACATTGCTTTAGCATCTTTCCTTCGCTTTCTCAGTCGAATACCAACTCCAACGCCAATGATGCACCCATGTCTAGATTCATCTCCATATTCTATACCCGAAAACGCTTCGGATCCATGTTGATTTTACATAGCCGAACGACGCATCCGCTGAGCTGGAGTAGTGTCTGCACACCTTCAAGAACCTTCATATGTGTAAAACCAATTTCTTTGATGAATTCCAGCTTTGCATGTTCGCTCAACGTAGGGATTGTTTTCGTAACCTTGAACATAGTGCTAATAATGTCGTGGCTTGAATAACCTAGATCCCAGAGTTCTCGGAGTGTTTCCAGGGCGGAATCAACATTGCCTTCATAGCAAGCCTTCAGCATCGCCTGCACCTTGATTGGATGAGGCGAGTCAACAACCTTGAAGACATTGTCTCCTGAGACGAAGCCAAAACCGGCAAACGTAGATTGAAGGTTGTTGATGGCTTGTCGCATATCTCCTTCGGCGCTAAAAACCAATGCTGCAAGGCCATCGTCACTGTATTCGACCTTTTCCGCCTCAATAATTTGCATGAGTCGCTTTACGACTTGGGCGTCCGTTAACTTGGCGTATCGTAGGATGGCGCATCGTGATTGGAGGGGTTCGATAATCTTGTTGGACTGGTTGCAGGCGAAAGCAAATCGTGTAGTGTTAGAGTAGATCTCCATAGTTCGTCTAAGGGCTTGCTGAGCACCCGAAGTCATGCTGTCGGCTTCATCGAGGATAACAAGTTTATGGCGCCCTGCAGGTAGAGTGACCTTCTTTTGGGCGAAGCCCTTGATTCTGTTTCGTACAACATCGATACCTAGGTGTGTCAGCGAATTGTTTCATCGCGTAAGAGAAACTAAGTACCTCGCTCGTCACTGGCATTGAGCTCCAAGACCGCTTCCTTGTACGATTCGCCTAAGAGCTGCCGGGCCAGACATAGAACACTGGTGGTTTTTCCAATACCGGGCATACCCGAGATGATTACATGAGGCATGTTGCCTTCTCTAGCAATGATCTTTAGTCTTTCAATCGTTTCTGTGTTGCCGACGACATCGTCAAGGAAGACTGGTCGATACTTTTCGACCCTAGGAACAATCAGTGAGCAACTCTACTCAAGGGGCATGAAAGGCATACCATGGAAGCTCATAATTTGTGGTCCCATTGGAAGAAGCTTTGAGAGCGGCCTTTGAGGCAGAGTTCGATGATTCGCCACGTTCTTCGGGTTTTTGGGAAGACATTTTGGGTATGCTGTTGCGGTGAAATCGTTGATCCTCCAACTGAAGCCTGAAATGGTATGTCAATCACTTTACGCGACTGAGAGAAAAGAGACGCGTCGAGTGGATGGCCCGTGCGTCAGAACCTGGAGCGACGGTAGTGCCCCACTCCTGCCACCGCTTTCTACCTTTCTATGGCAAAATCTTGTCAGTGCGATAACTTTTTTGAGTCTGTCAAACAGCAAAGATATTGCCAACGATACCTTGAATCCACAGCTTCTGGACGGTCCACGACGACAACATCACTGCAAAACCACACAGACAACAGCGACTCCGATTTCTAAGCTTCACACAATAATAAGCAGCCATGGGTGTTCAGAAAAAGACTCGCAAATTCGCAGAGGTACGCACCCTTATCGATAAGCGGCGCAAAAGTTGCCCAAATTTCAACATGTCCACGACGATGAAGATGGGGCGGCGCGAACATCAAATGCGCCTCAAATGCTGACCACAATACGCAACAGGTGAAGCGAGTTATCGGTCGTCGCGATGCCAGACTAAAGGAAAACAAGCTCAAGGCTGAGCTCGCTCAGAAGGAGAAGGAAAAGAAGACCATCAACGGCGAGCTTATCCGAGAAGCGCCTCAGATGCCCAGCAACATGTTCTTTCAACACAACACAGCTCTCGTTCCTCCCTACAATGTTCTCGTAGATACCAACTTTCTCAGTCACACGGTTCAGCGAAAGCTCTCTCTTCTCGACTCCATGATGGACTGCCTCTATGCGAAGTGTAACCCTATCATCACATCTTGTGTGGTAAGCCTCCAGCTCCAACCTTGAACCCTTCGACCGTGACTAACAGGTGATTTCACTCTTAGATGAGCGAACTTGAGAAGCTCGGACCTAAGTACCGACTGGCACTAAGGGTTGCGAGAGACGAGCGATGGACACGGCTTGAATGCGACCACAAGGGCACCTATGCCGACGACTGTTTGGTGGACCGGGTCCAAAAAAACAGGGTATACATCGTTGGTACAAATGATAAGGCACTCAAGCAACGGCTACGAAAGATTCCTGGTGTGCCTATCATGAGTGTGGCGAGGGCCAAGTATGTGATAGAGAGGTTGCCAGGTGCGCCTGACTCCTAGGTGTTCTTTTTGCTGTTTGGGAATGGGAAATTTGCATTTATGAGTTTACGATGCATTGCATAGCTGGGTTCTGGCCAGCACTAATGTCATTGAGCCTGGTTACTATTTGACAGGATTGTTATGCGATGTTCTAGGGTAGCTAGGCACAAAATTCAACGAAAATTCAACCTCATTCATAGTATATTGGCGAGCAATTCAAGCACATGTCTGACACATTATTCAATTAGGTCATGCTGTTGTTTGAGAATGGGTTTAGTTGAGAAGATGACTCACTTTACCCAACGATCGTTGTTAAACTCATCCAGTGTTGCCTGGATGTAAGTGGCCATGAATCCTGTAGTGGCATGTGATTGGGCGTTTATCAATACTATTGGCGTCTGACATACATCTTTAGATACGCACTCACTTTCAAACCTCTCTCAAACTGCTAAAAACGACTTACACTAAGTCAATACTACCACTGTCTAGTATTGTTGACAACAGAATCGAACCACGACCTTCAGATAGCCCTCACCAGCGTATTATCTGATGGAGATGGATTCCAGCCCAAACGATAATGATCAGTCATCAACATCTGAAGCCCGTCAGAAACGCTCACGCGTTCTTCTTTCATGTGCACCATGTCGCAACTCAAAGTTAAAATGTGATAGAGAGCAACCATGTGGACAATGCTCAAAAAAGGGACGCGCATCACAGTGTGCCTATGCCCCAAAACCTGAACGGAAACGGCCTGCCAAAGGCATGTCCGCACGCTTGAAGCGTCTCGAGGGTATGGTGCGGGAGATGATGGACTCTGAAGGCTCAGCCCCAGGAACCCAAGCAAGTGCTGGAATCGGGCCAGGCTTGGCGAATGGTACTGCTACAGGACCAGAGGTCCAAGGCCATGTCGTACATAGTGAGAGAGGGGCAACCTACGTGGGCGCAACGCATTGCATGGCGATGCTGGAAGATGTACGTATTCATATCGGAGTCTGTGATGAAGATATGGAGTTGGTACTAACAGTAAGTTAGATTGAGGACTTGAAGGACTACTTTGAGCAGCCTGAAGAAGCGGGAGAAGATCAAATCCTAGACGACGAGATTGATCCCACAGAACTCATGTTAAACACAAGAGCTGGACCAAGGAACCGAGAGGAGCTGCTAAGTCGCCTACCAGAAAGAAAGGTCGCGGACAGACTTCTTTCGCGCTACTTTGCTTCGATGAGTCCTTCGCAACGTAAGCATGTCCCGCTAAACACCCAATGCCATTACTAACAATTACCAGATATTGTTCACCGGCCAGTTTTTACCAGGCAGTATTCTAAGTTCTGGCAAGACCCCAACGAAGCATCATTGCATTGGATAGCGCAGTTATTCATGATGCTCAGCCTCGGCGTATTTTTCAACAAATTTATCAACTCAAGTGAGCTTGAGGGTGACTCTCCTCTCCCAGCTCAGGACAGAATCCGCCACTACAAGGCTTGTGCTGGATGGGCTCTCGTTTGGGGTAAATACACACAACCATCTTCGGCAACGCTCCCAGCGTTCTTACTTTACGTCGAGTCATCTTTCCTCTTCAACCGTGCGGCTCAGATGAACTGCTACGTGCTCTCGGGCGTGTGTATCCGTCTGATGCTCAAGATGGGTCTCCATAGAGACCCAAGCAAACTGGCGAACATCTCACCTTATGAGGGCGAGATGCGGAGGCGCATGTGGAACATGGCTATTCAAGTCGAACTTCTCGTTTCCTTCCACATGGGCCTTCCAAGTATGCTGCAAGGTATAGAAACTGATACTGCAGTACCGCGAAATCTAGACGACCATGACTTTGATGAGGATTCGACGGAATTGCCTCTTAGTCGACCACCTACAGATTGGACTTCCATGACATATCCGATTCATAAGACACAGATCCTTCGGGTGTTTGGACAGATCGCGAGACAAGCCCATGCTCTGACTCCGCCAAGTTATGCCGAGGTCGCCAAGCTCGACAACTTGCTGCAGGAGACCTGGAAGAGTGTCCCATCCTTTATGATGGTACGGCCACTAGATGAGTGTGTTGGCGATCCGCCCGTTCTGCTCATTCAGCGTTTCGGGTTGACAGCCCTATACAACAAATGCCGTATTGTATTGCATCGTCGATATCTCGCGGAGGCAATTCCGCAACGTGAACATGATTACTCACGCAGGCAATGTCTGGAGGGCGCTTTGTCATTGCTCAACTACCAGCACATTATCTGGGAAGCTTGCAAGCCAGGTCACGTATTGAGTCAGCATGGTTGGTTTGTCTCATCCCTCGCGGTTCACGACTTTCTCATGGCCGCAATGGTACTTTACCTCGTCGTCAAGAACGAAAACTACTCAGAAGTTGGGAGTGACTATGACTGGATGTCGCAGACTGCACCAACGCCGACTAAGGACGAACTCATTTGTATGATCAAGCGATCTTGGCTCATCTGGGCAGATGTGTCGCGAGACACAGTAGAAGTTAAGAAAACAGCAGATACACTGGCTACGATGTTGGCTAAGCTCGGAGCCCCAGTTGAAGAGCCAGCGAATACCCTTGAGCAAGCTGCTCCCAGTGTTGGTGCTGATAACGAATACTCCTCGCTTGGGGCTCTGTCTGTAGATCCTAGCACACTGGGGTCGATCGGGGGTGATCCGACACTGCTATCGACTCTGGGGTTGGGTAAGACGTTCCAAGAAAATATGATAGATAACAGACATGCTGACAAGGATAGGCTCATCAACGGGATCTACGTCAGACCAGACACCCCTGGATCTTAATCTGGCAGGAGATGCAGGAACTAGCATGAACTTTACGAATATGGGGACGGAAGGTCTTCAGTTTGACCCGGCTTGGATGGATACTGCAGCCAGCAACATGGACTGGGTAAGTTGCTTAGTAGTCGTTATCATGAAAGCTGTCCATTTGGCAAACTAACAACTCGGCAGCGTTACCTCGACATATCACTGGCTCACAGTCATGATGCTGGACGCAATGAGGACACTGGTCAGACGTGGATAGAGAGAGCACCACCATTGGAACAAATGGATATCATGGGGTCAGGAATCTGGATCCCAGATCGTCCTGAATACACTTGAGAACGATGAATCAACGTCTTTAGAAGTATAGTTATGGTTGTACTAGAGTCGATCATATTTCCAGTCTGAAACAAGGTTTTGACTACGACAGCTTATCGAAGCTGTTGGTGACATGTTGAGTAAGATAGCGAGATAAGAGTGCTGATTACTTTTGAGACAAATCGTTTTCGGGATATGTCACCGCTTCAATAAACGAAAGGGTGGTGTGGCCCTCATGAACCGTTACAACTATCGGGTTATGCAATGCATACACGACATTCCGAGCTAGGTCCGCTCTGGGGAAATGAGATCCGGGGAACTAGCTAGAAATCCCCGCAGAGCATTGCGCTGTTGATGATCTGGATGAAGCTCATATCAAGGGACATATAATCCGAGATAGGAGAGGATTCAGACTTCTCATGCTCGATTTTTGTTACTTCTTTTGCCAACACGCAATATTGCCGCAATATTTGATGATTGAACAGTCGGCACAAGTTCATCATTGTGACAGTATCATCAATATTGCGAAATGGCTGACGTGTTCGCGTTGAAACACCCACCGATAAGGATGTCAATACACGATGTGATAACGACTGAACCCAACCCAAAGGCTCATGTTGCTTCCAGGGATATATGACGTCGATCCGGGGAATTGGTTGATAAAAATTAGTGGCGCCATATCCTCCGCGGAGATGGTCATATCAATTGCGGCATCGGGATCCTATCCGTTGACACAACATAAACTTGCACAACACCACATATACAGCACGGAACTCCGGCCGAAGTATACTGTACGTTTGGGCAAGGCGGTTTTCAGCGCAATCCAATAATGAAAGTAATATCCGTTGATCAGGTCGTGTGATTGCGTGTGATTGCGTGTGATAGACCGCCAATTCGCAATTTTAACCTTCTAGAACAAAATCGTGATTCTAGAGCTTGATGTCCGCGGTCCATACACCGTGTATTGAGCAGGTGACCGGGCAAACCACCCTGAACCGATCAACCCTGGAGGACCAAAAGGTATCCGGATATGTGGCATGAAACTTTGATGCATCTAACTGAATCAAAGTTGCACAAGAATAACGCCAATCATTGATGGCAGCATGACGTTCCAGCCATGGACTGCTTTCACCGTTTTCTACACTGGTTCGTAATTGAAAATATCAGTAATTTGTATTGAATAAAGTAAAAATATCCCAAGGAATTCTGAAGAAGGTTTCAAGCATCCAATCTGTTAAAACAATGCTTCTATTCTAATAACCATGACAGTACCGCACACTAGGGGAAGTTATCCGCCACGATGGAGAGCGTTCGACAAGCATAGCATAGAATCGGTTCGTTTCGTTTCATTTCATTTCATTTCGTTTGGGAGTCTGGTGACCAACAAGGGCTTCATCGCCATCCCACGACGCCGCTATCAGTTGCACGAACAAATAGGCAGCTTGATGTTGGACGTGTTGTCAAGTCGATGAGAAATGGATTCGGGTTGAAAAATTTTGACTGGAGAGTCGTGGTACTGCCTGGATACTTTTACCTAATTTGAACGCTACTTCGGCACTTCTTCAACCACCTCCACTTCTATCGTGGGCAGCTTTCTGCCCTGGTCTTTGTCTTTTTTGGGGTTGAATACCACCAAAAAATCTGGCCGCCGGCCAGTTGGGTCTCCAGCTCTAAAAGAGAAAGAGACCAAGACCTGGATCATGGACCTGGACCCGGACCTCAACCTAGTAGCGGGAGCGTGCGTTCCTAGTCGGTTCGCTCCCGCGGGGATGCGAAGATCTGTTTCGTTCGTAGAGGGCAGGTAAAAGTCATGGATCGTTTGTCGACCTCCCAGTAGTACCGGTATACTGTTCCTCTGCTGGTTGGTACGACCGGCTGCCCGCTTGGATTGATTAGCAGTTTAATAAGGTTGATCACGAGCAGAGCCTCAGGGTAGTTTTGGCGGGCTTGGCAATGGTTGGTGACATTGTAGTTTGATCGCTGATGATGGTGAAAGTGGAGGAAAAGGGTAGAGAAGAGGTTGAGAAATTGAGCGAACGTTTGTAAGTCATAGATTAGATAGGTATATTCCAAAGTGAAAACAACTACCATTTACGGATAATATTGTTGGGACTGATAACTAATAAGCGCCTGCCCTATCAAAGTTCGGCCTGTCGGCGACAAGCTGAAGTCAGTGCAACTGACCTGTCTAATATGCGAGTCTGATGCTTCAGCTCGTGTGGCAACCTATAACTGTCTGTCAAATTATGTATTCCGTGCCCAGACTGAGAGCTTGAGCTTGAGCTCGAGTTAGGCCATCCTTCTCTCCGACCAATTGTTGCCAGTATACCTCGGCTGCAATGCAGTCACCATCATGAAATGAGGAGAAGTGAGGAGAGATTAGGTACATGAGACATCGGCTCCCCTCTCCGACCTGAGTTGGATTGACGATAGTGTGGAGGAGGTAGTATCGCGCCATACGTACCAATCGTGGGGGAATCACTGCGCCGCTGAGGCCAAAGATGGAGAGCTCAATTCCATGATGGGCTTCTCTGCTTAATCTGCGCCGTACTATTAATTGACGATGAGGGGTCGATTTAGCAAAAAGGTACTAGACCAGGTCAATATCAAGGGACGGACCAGCCGTGGTCTTGTGATGCATTCACCAGGCTAACATGAACGAAAAAGGAGAAAGCACATTACTCTAATTCTCTATCTATATGTCCCGACAACAGCATTGTAGATGGAATCGAGTAAAAGCTATGTAATGGGAACGAGGACCGGCGCCTATTGGCGAATGATGGTGTTGGGGTATGGCCGATTCCGCACTCTGGAACCTGGAGCATCCCCGTCGTTTGTCAAATTGTGTCTCTCGTCATGACATGGGTGGCACTGCATTGTCTGGTAGTTGGACCTGGACCTGGAATTCCTTGTTGGACACCGACACCTTCAAGGTTAAAGTGACATTTCAACTCGACGACAGGTATGCAAGACCTGCCAAGATGTTACCCAGATCGGCCGCTCACGAGTTAAGTTGAGTTGATTCGAGTCGAGTCCCCTACTCACTTACTATGCAGGGAAATATTAACCTATCCGACAGTAGGTTGACTTCATAGCTGATACAAGCATGGGGCGCTAAATAAGCTTCCATGTCAGTTGACCCCGAGACACCGACTTGGAGATATCAATACATCAGTGAGTTCTGGGCGATAAGCCCAGCACCCTGGATCGTCGATTCAGAGACAAGCTTGAACTAATATTGGTGTGATTGGCCATCCCCGGACTTTCAATATGTGCTGGATTTAGTCCAAGGGAGGGTCTTCTTTGAAGCTTTTAACAATTACAGAGTGGAAGACCGAAAAAAGAACGAGAGCTTATTCACAACCAAATGTGAAATGAGGCCTTCGATGGCATTACCGGAGGGGCAAATGGGAACACGAGTTTCGGTGGTATTGCGTCTAAACCTTCGCCTTCCAACGACATCCAGCAGGCTCTTCAGAGGTCAGCTCGTGGTGTAAGATTGATAGCGATAACCTGGAAACACGGAGGCTCATACCACGAGCAATCAATTTTTGCCCCGATTGGTCCAAGCTTGACCATCTTGGCCGATCCTCCATCCACCTTGACGGCTCCAGAAGCTTTTCCAAGGCGCAACCAGCCGATTTGAATTTTTTTAACCCTTGGTGACCCCGTTGCCGTGCGCGTCTGGCATTGGCTCCAGCTTTCATATTGGGTGGTGAGTTAACGTAACGGCCTCTGAATTCCCGGAAACCATTATTTCCATCACCATCACGAGGGTAAGGTAACTTGTACTTGGATGGTCTGTTTCGGCGTCTGTAAATGGCCCACCGAACAACTACGTCCAACATCCATGGGAATGCAGCCCTGGTGCAGGGGCGCCTGTAGGCGTCACCTGGGGTCGAAAAGGCAACATCAGGTCTCTTTATCTTTCGTATCTTGCCCTGTCCTGAGTAAGGGAGGAAAATCTCTTCATTTAAAAGGACGGTCAAGAGTTAAACCCGTTTCATCCGGAAAGGTACTTGGTAGAAGTACTGATAAGAAGACTCGGAGTGGTTCCGTCTAGGTTCAAGAAGGTTAGGAGGAGAGGCAAGGCGAGACAGGTGACTTGCTGACCGAAATCCTGATGGACAAAAAGGGCAACTGTTTAATGTACTCCTATCATGCCATGATACCTGTGTCTTGGCTTGAGTCGGACCATCAGCAAAGGTACCTTGATAGTGCAGGGTACTTCTGTAGTGACGTTCAATTAAACATGGCGTTTCTTTTCAATTCTCTTATCAGTAGGTCGAGTCGGTTTCTGCTTGCCGGTCCGGGTGTGGTTATGGAACTTCTGGTCACTTTACTTTCCCATTGTGACGATGAATCCGGTCTTCGTTATCGCTTGGTGCTTCCCCTCTATCCTCTTGCTTCCTCTAGTTTTCTATTATTGATCAAGCCAAGTTGGAGAGCATCCATCCCCAGTTTCCAACCCGCAATCTTGAATCTTGTTCCCCATTTCCCCATTCTTTCTATCCTGTTCTACTGCGCTTCTGCGCGCACAGTCAGCCCTGACACCCTATTTGTGTAAGCTCTGAGTGTTGCTGTTATTGCGATACCCCGCCAAATCAGGAACCGGCATTAAATGAGTTTTGCAAAGTTAAATACCCGCAGGATTAATGATAAGAGAGCAGGCAAACAATTTCATTCGCTGCCTTATGCTACTGGATAAATCGTCACGCAGACAAAACCAAATTGTAGCATATACTTGACGCCAAGCTTGAACTGATACTGTAATAAAGTTGAAAGTAGATTTCCAATACAAGTTAATAAGTGGTCAGCTTAGCTTAGACCCCTCATTCATCGTCAAGGTTGTTCTGGATCCCTTCATTCTTTTTGAGCTACTTGCAGCTTCTGTCTTGGCCCTCTCCTACTACAACCCTTTTGGACTTCATCGACGCCATCATATTTTTGGTGTCGGCCCCAGATCGTACCCACGAGGGCCCTCGTGTGTGGCTTCATTCAGTGATATCCATACCTGTACC